TTCTCTGTTCTGGTTGCTTTCTGACAGGAACAACAGCAGGGAAAGTAAATGCCCATGTAAAATTTGTGATGCTGCATGTCCAGCTTATATGGAAATATACAGTGAATGTCTGCTAAGTTTTTAATTAGTATGTAGAAAAAATTATTCAGAAGTTTATTTTCATTTATTTTTTCAGCTTATTTTTTTATTTTTTATTTTCTTCTATTTTCAGAAGTTTATCATCTAATCAAATTTGGACATATTATCACAAGAACAGTGGAAGATACAGAAACAAATCTGTTGGCAATCTTCAACTGGCCTCCATAAACTGGAGACTGTGGAACCTTACCGTAATGTAACTGCGTGAACTGCCTTTAATACAGGTGAATCTGTATTTTTCCTGAATATTGTCCTTTAAAAGGGATAGAATACAATAAAATAAAATAATCAGATTTAGGAACACACATGAATTGGAGAATTGTATCTGAACAATTACGAAAACTGAACCTAGAATGCAATAGTAGAGGTGAAGCAATTATCAATTTGTGCTATGTGGCCTCGGATGTGGCTATAGTGAGTAATTCTATAGGATCCTCAAAAGTTGGTAAAGAATTGTTGCAATATCAGAACTACTGTTTATTTTTCATCTGCTGTGAGAAACTCTTTTCAGACTTCTCTAATTTTTGAGCTATGAAAATTGCAGTATAAATCTGGAAGGAACTGGTTTCTGTAGTCTCTTATGTTACTTTTACATCAGGACAACTTCATAAATAACTAAGATTTACTCTTTTATAAAACTCTGGTGACAGAGTTCAGAATTAGAAACAAATCCTCGCTTTCTACCTACAAAGCCCTTTCAATTAGCAATTTTTGAAATTACAGACACTAAAAACAAAAAAAAAATGTTATCATCTCCAAAAACTCTTATACTGGAGACTTTAGAAGTTGTATATATGTACACCAACTCTTAAGTTTGTAAACACTCAGGCAGAAGCCAATTCTGAAGAAAAGGTTTTTTCAAATTGAGATTCTGTAGGAAAGTTTCTTTCCATTAACTATATTACAGGTGAAGAAGTCATTTACCAATACTCAATTAATTTAAGGTTCAACACTTTTTCATTGCTTATTTTTCATGGCCCTGTAAGATGCAGCAATGCAATGCTCACCTTTTGTTTTTACAGTATAAAACAAAGAACTGGACACAGTTAAGGACCAGTCTGAGCTCACAGAAGCTTCTGTACTTCCTAAAATGGACTATCAGATTCCACTTTTATAGCTTCATTATACTTAAATTCTCATCTTCAGAGAGTGAAATGGGAAAATGGTAGGCACCTTTGGGTTTTAAGAGCTCTGAAGGATAGAAAAACCTGCATGAGGCAATCAGATACCTAGGGAACTGTGAAGCTTGCCTCTCCTCTGGGCAGCGGGAACCAAAAGTATCTGTTAAGTCTGACAAATTCTTAAGTGTTTTGTTTTGGTTTTTTGTTTTAAAGAACACAGAAGTAAACCAGCTTAGTGCTTAGCCAGATTAGTGCTTCACTGCTTGCTTAATCATTTGCCGTGCATAACATTCGTCAATGCTGCAGTTCTAAATTGGCTAAGCTCTAAAGACAGTTTACATAATCAAGCATTAAACTTCAAATAGATAAGCAAGGTCATTGCTGCCCTAGCACCAAGAAGAGCTCCCAAGTACTGTAAGACTTCTGGCCTAGTTAGCATGTTTTCAAAGTTCTTACTAGGACTCTCTTGACAATTATAAAAGCCCATTTCTCTATTGAAATGCAGAGGAACTATACAAGAGAAAAGCAGCAGATGTTCTCTTCCTGAAAAATCTTTAAGACTGGTAAGAAAGAAAAAAAAAATTTTGCAAAAAAGTGTTAACAATAAGATCTAAATACATATAAACTCCCATTGTGTTAAACATTCCTTGGTTTAACATACAGCATGTCAATAACTAGCCTGAGATTGTTCTGTTTGTCCTCAAGAAGTATCCAGTGCAGCGCAGAGAACACTGCAGTCTCATACAATAATATGTTTATGATACAAGATCCACCCATTCTAACAAGATTATTATTTTTGCTGGGTCCTGTGAAATCTCTGTGGCATTTTCTGATAGATTTTGTGGCAGGTAATTGATTCTCAGAAAAAACTCACAGAAAGCTAGACTTATCCTCAAAGGTCACAGAAATGGGTGAAAAAATACTTAGCTTACGATAACGGGCACTTCAGATTGCATTATTCAGATGATTCCCTTTTAGACTTTTTTCTCTGCTCCATGAGTGTGTATTTTATGGTCATTGTAGCTGTGCCTTTATCCTCTCCATTTGAAATACGAAGGCTAGAATAAACTCAAACTATCCCTTAGCTAACTTTAACATTACAAAGGGTCTCAAAACGACAAAGGAAAACGGACCATGAAATCCATGTGAACAATATGTCTCCAAGAAACACAATTATCACAAGACATAAACCTGATCTTCATCATTTAAGTGCCTATCAACATGGATTACAGTTTTTTATATCAGAAAGCTAGAAGGGATCACAGTTTCACCTCCTCTAAATTCCAACCACTGAACTTCCCCAAGTTTCCCCTATTAAGACAATTAATTTGTAATATTTAGATTTTATTTTCCAGAATCCAGTCTTGTGCTGAAACATGTACAAAATTTATTTGGTAGCTTGTTTCAGGAGAGGGGGGAGGCACAGAAAAGATTCTGATTAAAGACAAATTGATCATTAAGTAAGAGCTTTGCAAAATTCTCAAAGCCCCCTTCGGAGCACCTACAGGCATGTCTCATCTGTTTCAGACACCAAGAATTCTATCACTACTTTGTTAAATCCACAGAAACTTTTCTACAATTGATTTTGGTTTGATAATCACATTTTCAGTGAAGCTCCTGACAACAGAAAGTAACAAACAGCATTAGCCAAGGAGAAAAATCTTCCTCCCACATAATTCAAATATCTCAGGATATTTCTCCCAAAGCATGTTTCTTATTGCTTGAATATTTAGATATAATCTGTACTTAAAACGGACACGTGCTTAAAAGTGGTACAATACCAGCTTTACACAAAGTCACTGTCACTTTTGGAGCCTGACTCAGATATTTCAGTGAGGCAAATCTTCACAATTTTTCACAAATGGAAATGGTAAAGCTATAAGGCATGAAAGCTTAGAGCACGTGCAGTAATACTTGACTTCTGACACGTTCAGTGTGACACCTAGAGTGTCAGACATGATCCTTAACCAGTCAGGAATGCATTCGGTTGTCTGAAACTAGCAAAGCTGGTGTTCTGTTGAATGAGAAAGAATTTGTTGTATGAAACACTGCTCTTCACTGGTCCCAGCTGTGGCTTCGTGACAGATTTCCTTCTCTAGGTTCACATTATACCCTTAGGGGAAGACATTAACTCTGTGAATATAAAAGCATTTGAAGCTGATTTCACCCTCTCAGACAAGAGAAATCCACAGCCTTAAGACTGAGGCGATGGACACCAGAGACAGAATGACTAGAATTTTGCAGATATTTTCTGAAATTTAGTGATAGCAGGCCATTTTCAGAGAAAGATAAATTCTGAAACTTTCAGGTTGAAAGAGAAAATGGAGAAAGGTTTGACCACTGCTATCTGGTTAGGGCTAAGAGAGACACATTAGCTATTATTTACTTCTTTCCTTTGAAAGATCCAAAAATAAGAGTAAGCGGATAATTGTATGAGAACAAAATAGCAGGATAGCAGCACAGGGAATAACATCAAGAGGAGTACGGATCTATGCTTCATCTGTCAGAGAAACAGTCTGTCACCAGGAATCCAGTTGGCCCTCAGGGGTCTAGGCAAGTACTGCTTAGGTGAGCCGGTTACAACTGTCCTGTGCTCATTACAAAAACCATGGAAGTTAATCCTAAGATTAATGGGAACGTTTACAGCTCTCATAGCTATTGCCGTAGTCTCTTCAATCTACCATCTCAAGTAACTGCCACCAAATTGTTCACTACCTGTTTACAACTTACTATTCATGAATACAAGGTCCAGAAAACTTATTTTGTTGTTTTATTTCATAGTGAAGCTTCAAAGTGAACACAAAATAGTTATTCCATGAAGTCTGGTTTGGAAAAAAAACCTGCAGGCACCCAGTATGAGATAAAAGCCTAAAAAAAGCCCAAATGCATGAAGTTTTACCAAGATATCAGCAGTTTGAGTAAAGCTTGTGGAAGGGAGCTCAACTAACAGTTTCATCAAAAAAAACCTCCAAAAACCAAAGCCAGCACACAGATACTGAGTATTTAATATATTTGAATTAAAGTGAAAGATCTTTAATTTTACCATTTGGAATATAAGAGCTATTCATCATAGCGTAAAACTTTTTTTTCCCCAACACTTCATAGATAAAAGATACTATCTTTTTAATTATCTTTCAGGTGAGAAGCAGAACACAGGGATAAAGATTACTTCATCACATAAGCATTTCAAAAGTTATTATTTTACCCATTTACCAGGAAAGCCCCAAATTACATTTGTGATACTAGTCTCCTTACTGACTTATGCTGAGCAGGCTAATTGGTATTTCTAGGCTTTCTCAGGCTGGAGAAAAGTGTGCTTTTAGCCACATTCCGACACACGGCACACAGGACATAGCCGTTCCACTTTTAACAGCCAAGTTTCATTGGCTTTGTAACTTGGTTGAGAACAAGGGTTGTGAATATACACCAGAGTACAGAATTGACAGGGCAGCCTCTGATTGCTGAGTCTGTTCCTAGAGTTTCTGTTTTCCTTTGGCATTTTTTCCATGGACGTGCATTACTGTATGTTTAAAAATTATTCATATCCATAACAGAGAAGGAATATGAAAAAGTAACTTTAAAAATATTGATAAAAAAAGAAACAATGCGTCAATAGAGGTTGCAAAAATGTTTTGAATTTAAAGTTACAGTTTTTACATAATTACCCATAACATGCAAAGCATCTTCAATTTAAAAAGTATTAAAAAGAAATAGAAAGGAAAAAAAAAGTTGTTGACCAACCTTTATGTCTATGAGATCCATCCATGTCTGAAAACTCAATATGATTTTCATCAGCCCAGTAAAGTCTGTGGTTGACATAATCTATCGTAAGAGCCATAGGTCTGGATATCTGTGTTTCTATGACAACTGTTTGACTGGAACCATCCATACCAACACGGCCAATGTGAGGATACTCACAGCAATCAATCCAGTATAAGTATCTATAAACCAAAATACAACAGCTGCTTTTTTAAGAGATGCAGAAATAATAACAACAAAAATAATTTATTTAGTTGAGCTCAAGAATAAGTCAGTAATTATTCTATAATGTTTCCAATTTCCAGATAGATTTTTTGATTTTTCTAGAGCTGTGTGTGAGTGTGCTAAATGTAAAGGGTTTGAATAGGAGAGTCCTCATGTTAGATGTGATTTCATGAAATTAATTATAGACTAATAAAAAGTGCATTCAAATTGTTTAGTCTTGATACCTTAGAATTTGAAGTATTGCCCAGATTGGAGTTCAGGAATCTCATATCCTGGAAGAATGTCATCACTACTAAACTTATGACAAATATTGTATTACAGTTACTTTTTTTTTTTTAAAAAAACACCACATTTTACAAAACCTTGTTTTGGTTTTAAACAGTAATATGATGCAAATTGTATTACTTCGAGCAGTACTTGTTCCAAAACATTAGAACCGTTTCTCATATTAAGAGTTCAAAAATGGGTAAAGCACTGAGAAAGACTGTTGGAAAGCTGAGTAGTAATTTTTTCTTGAATATGCTATTTAGCCACAATACAGAGTATGTTTGGGTTTTTTTAAACAAAAAGAAAATATCCTATTATTGGTACACAGATGCACGTTGTTACTGTTGTATGTCATTACTTAGAACCTCAGGACAGACGCCTCCAGCTGGGAAGCCAACATGCTTCTACTCTAGAGGTTTTGGACAGACTCTCAAAAACTCAGACACAGCTTATATACTTAAAAGCCACCTGGAATATCATTTATGTGCAGAAGAAAACGGTGGCCCTAAGAACAGCCAGAGGTATCCGACAAAACACAGGTGCAATATGCTGGCACTGAACCTGCTCCACATAAACACTAGAGAAAGGGAACTTTCTCCATTGCCTCCAGCAGAATGCTTTTTCTCTGGAAAAATATCACTTCAGCCATATAGTTGATTTAGCATTTCTCATTTGTGAGAAAAAACATGAGATACAATTAATACTATTTCAAACAATAACTCTGAATTTGAAATGAAAACAGTTTTTATTTCCAGTAGCTTTCCATACTAAAATAGCTAAATAAATCTATTTTTTTTTTTTTTAAAAAAAAGAGAGCTTCGCCTCAGAAAGGTAAGTCTGTACACACCGTGTGCACTGAGCAAGAGCACAATAAGTTTATTATGCCTGTGTGTATCTAAATCTTCCTGGAAGATTGAGACGGTCTGTACAAAATTTGCAGAGTTGAGTTTTGCATACACAGGGAACATACCCTGGGTGTCCAGGCAATCAGAGAGAGGTACTGATGTACTGATATCTTGAATACATTTAACGCACATCTACATGCTCCCTGTTGAATTCTACAGGGAAGAAGGGGTACAGTTACAAGAAAATTCAATGCCAGTTCTAAGAACTGGTAGGAAATGGCTTTTCTTTTAAAAAGTAGACAGGTTACGTTTCTTAGCTAGGAAATATACTGCTTTTCTTTGTTTAGGTAGAGTGCAGACCAACTCAACAATTTTCTCATGTCATTGACACTTGAGATGGTTACTTGAGCTTTAGGATTTAGAGATGGAAAAGAATCATTAATTGGCCATGATTCTCTAGATGCTACAATAGCTTTATTCATCCAATTTATGCAGATATATCCTGTTGTTCCACAAAACAGAAAGCATTACATATGGAATTCAGATCTGAAACGACATATGGCAAACTTTCCATAGTCTTATATTTTATTTATTCAGGGACTAGATAATAATTTAAGTATTACTATTCAGAAGTATTATTTTTCCTAAAAATTATATGCAGCATAATTCTTTATTTAACTAACAATTTAGTTAGAAATTAACCAGGTTTTAACAACTTTCAATGAAATGTACACTGATGTTTTAGTGGATAGTGTTAATAGAGATGATGGTTTACTGGTGAATTGAGAGGCCTCTGTTTAAGAGGCGTTAACTGCATATTGAGCCATATAGACCCAGTGACCAATGGCTGGGGCATTAAACATATTCACATAAACAGGAAACACTTCAATGTTTTTATGCATTTTCTGTTTCAAGAATGTAAAATCTTTCTTTTTCTATCATCTGAATTAGATGTTGGCATGAAATAGTTAGATGGTTTATTTGAGTCTGTCTAATGCTGATTTGGTTTTGATCAAAGAGGAATGGCTAGAAATTTTCTGTTTAAAAAAAAAATCAACCAACCAACCAAAAAAACCAAGCAAACAGAAAAAAGTAAAAAGAGCTTGTATCTCTTGAGGTTGGACAAGATGACCTTCAGTGGTCCATTCCAACCTCAACCATTCTGTGAGTCTGTGAAAATCATACATTAAATAAATTTGTTAATGGAAAGATGATTTTGTTTGCTCTTCTTAAAATTTAAGCATTGGGTTGATTTTCTCAAGGACATCGGTTTTATGTGAAAAATTAAAATATTTTAAAATTTTAACAAAACTGCAAAAAAAAAAAATGTCCATGGTTCCAATAGCTCTTACATCAGTCAAAAAAAAAAAAACGGTGGTGGTGCTCAAAACTGCACTCAGAATACCAGCACAGATTTATATTAATAAATAAATTATAAGGCATGCAATCATTAATAACATTAACAATTAAAGGCACCAATTAACAATCTACTTAAACTAGGCAGTTTTCACTTCTTATCATTGTTGAAATAAATTTTTCAAGCATATTGACAATTTCAAATTTCTGAAAACTAAAGTTAGAAACTATGTCTCCTAAAATAAACCCCTTATATCCTAATAATTAATCAGTCTAGTTATTAAACTTGTGTGGAAATCAAAACTTTAATTTTATAGAGTGAAAAAAGGCAAAAGCTATCTTCAAATTATGCTGGAATAAACATTTTTACTCTTTGATTAACATGAAAAAACTATCAGAAAAAAAGTCTGCATTACATGTCTTCCACGCAATATAAATTTTTGTTGTGTAGTAACACACTTCTTAAAAAGAGAGAGGGGTATTTTTTTTGAAATACCTGTTTTCCTACTACCAAAAGAAAACATTTACAGAGTAGTAAATACAACCAAACATGGCTCAGTACCTGCATTCATCTTTCTATTATACCAATTTTACATGTGATGATGCTATAGTAAGCATTGGTAATGCATTTTAGACTACTGATATCTAGTGTAGCTGACAGATAATAAAAAACTAATTACTATTTCCTTTCTTCATTTTTTCTAAAAAAAAAAAAATAAAAATAAAATAGATAAAATTAGGATTAAATATGAATTACTGCAAAATGGCTGCTTCATACCCAGCTTGAGGATCTAAGGACAGATCTCTGGGAAACTTCACTCTCTTGCTCACGAGGACGGTAGGGTATAAGCCATTCAGTTTAGACACCTCAATAATTCTCTTTTCAGTATCAGACCAATAGAGATTCTTCCCAATCCAATCGACAGCCAGTGCATTTGGAACAGCTGTATTATGGACTACCTAGAAAAGCAAAAAATACATAAATTATTCATCTAAATACTAGGAAAATGAAGCAATTCAAGAGTTTCTAATACCAGAATATTGAGAGGTTGGATATATGATACAGTGACATACTAGGTGCAAAATGGGTATTATTCCCTGTTAAACACTGACCCTTCTGAAGTAATGACACTTTTAAAATAACTAAATCAATGTGACATTTTCCTTACAGTAAAGGAGAATGGAGAACTCCATGATGTAGTAATTATAAATTTTCAACTTCCCTGCATTATGCACTATTTTTAAAGAATTTTCTATCTTACATTTTTCATCTTAACTTTCTAATTTTCCTTTTAAGTTTAAAAAAACCACCACAAAACACAAACTCCAACTTTTTCCCTTTACTATTCTGTTTATTTTTCACAGAACCGAATGGAGATGAGAACTGCCATGGTTTAACCCAGCTGGCAACTAAACACCACACAGCTGCTCACTCACCCTCCCCAGCCCCTGGGGAACAGGTGACAGAATCGAAGGGGAAAAGGGAAGGAGACTCCTGGATTGAGACAGCATGCCCTCAGACACATCTGCTTATTAGCTCACCATTTCTCTCACCAGTCTACATCAGTATGTATTTCATTTTAGTATCACAGTAGTGCCATATGTCATCATGACAGAAAGACCATAAGGGCATTCAACTCAGGCAAACAGAAAAAGATTTCTACTTGGAAAGTAATACTGTGCTCTCGTTTCCAACATTCATGTGGCAGAAGAAAGAGGAACTTTCTAAGAATTAGTTAAATTTAAAAAAAACCTACATTATTAAGGAATAAACTAAGAGACAGAAGCAATTTAGTGACCTTCCAGAAAGCTTATGCTCTACTGACAGGGATGTGTTATTCTCAAGGCTTTTGATGACTTGAATAATTCTGAGACTTGAACAAATGCCTCTAGATAGACATGATTACAAGTCTCATCATGATTGCATGACTCAATCTTGCTTGGCTGGGAGTACTTCATGTTAAGTGTTGAGTGACATTTGAATGCTCCCAATTGTTAGAGTCCAACTTCTTTTAGGCTTAGAAATTATATCCCTGATAAGGTCTACTCTGACCTATTCTATTCCTGATTAGATCCTGATTAGGTCTGTGCAACTAGAACTTAAAAAAAAAAAAAAAAAAATCAGAGTGTGCAATACTTGAAAATATTAGAGACTTCTTAAGTACTACTAATAGGTTTATTACTGTGCTGTACATTCTAATTTATTGTCATCTTCATCCCTAAAAGCATGTGCAACAGAGAAACTTTACATGTAAACCTGATTATGTGTAACTGAATGTGTTAATTTTATTTACCATTTGAAGATACTGAAAAGCCTTCAAGATGAGAAGGGATACTGTGAGATACTTTAAACCAATTTTTTAGTTAAGAATATACAAAAGCACCTTTTCAGGTTATTGCGTTATTTATCACCTTATAAAATCTCTTTAAAATTAAATCCAGGCATGCAGCTGTTTTTTTAATATGAATAAAATACTTGATTTTCTAATACCTTAGCACTACCAGCTTCACTGTTTTATAAAGGTATAATAAAACTGTAACACAGGAAATTTCATGTAGAAATGAACAACTCTGCAAACTTTGATAGCAGTTTAGCTACACCATCTAGAAGCGTTAACTAAAATAATTAGTCTCTCTTTTCTGATGACTTTTCCTTTGGAGAGTCACTTTAAGCTTATTCCAGTCACTGAGATCATCAGTGTGACATTTAATGTACACAATCCAGCTTACTACAGCGTTTTCCAAAAACAGATTTCATTTGGGTCTACAATAATATACATAAAATGCTATGTTACTGTTTAAACATATTTATGTGAAAAAATCGTTGCTTCAATCGTATAAATATCTCTTCCAGATACAGAAGAAAAATGAGATGCCATCAGGTTTCCCAGACGAAGAAAGCTAGAGTTGGTATGCTGAAAAGATGCTATCTTCTAAAAGGGAAATCCTAGTATCATTTACACTATTGGTATATTTATTTATAGTAAATAGTAAAACAACAAGTATGAAGGAAATAAAATAAATTCATACTTCAAAGGAAAAGGCTGTCAACCATAAAACCTCTCTTTCATGACACACACAAAAAATAACAGAATATTTAAACAGGTTTGTTGGGAAACTAATTATTTGCATCATCACTTATTAAATATGTGCTATGGTAACCTAATAAAATCTAAGTCAAAGAGACGTAAAGTTATCTTTTGGCACTGGATAAAAGATTACTGGCAGAATATCAGACAGCTACAATAGCTAATTCTGGATCAAATTTTGCTTATATTTTTAGCTTTCAGAGGCCAAATCCGGGCCAAGTTTTTCGGTGCAAAAAACCCAAATATTCTTATGAAAATTAAATACACTTATTTTCACAATTTTTACTTTGAACTTGGCTTCTTATTTGAGTAAAATGTCCATCAACATGACACTCGTTCTGTAAATTGCAAGATACTAACGAAGGAAAAAAGAAATATGCTCCATGCCCCCAATCTAACTTTCTTCTAATGTTTGTTCAAATTTCTGAAGTCTTTCCTTAAAAACGAAATCATCATTACACAATTAGAAAGCAATAGGAGGTTTATTTACTCTCCCACCTGACAACTACAACTTTTGGGCTGGGAAAAATTCTTAGTTCTTCTTGAAATAGTTAAGATTGGAAAGAAAAAGTCTGGGGTCATTCCCAGACCTGAAAACATTCCCTGAAATAGTGAAATACAGATTTATACAGTATGGACAAGAAGCTGGATAAGATGCTTTGTAAAATGTTTAAAAGCAATAAATACGATTCAAGGATTTAATGGATTTTGAACCTCACATTTGCCTGTCTCCTATTTTTTGCAAGAAAAATCTTTGCAGGGACTTGCTAGAACTTTCAAGTGCATGCTGGATTTCAGTTTTACCCCAATGGAATCAAAGTGCCATAGTTTATGCTCATTCACATTTTTTTTCTAAGAACAATTATTTCCAGGTGAAGGATGTACGCAAGGCTCACTGATGCCAGGCAGTTTCAAACCTTAACCCTGAAAAAGACTCAAGTGAGAGTGCTCTAAGGATGCGTCAGTCCTTGTACTCAGCTGCAAATGAGAAATAGAAATCTCTTCTCTCTGCATAATTTACAGGTGTACAACGAGAGTACAAAATTCACAGGATTTGTTACCGATCATTTGTTCCACATTTAAGAAGGTCAGACATAAGAGAATAAGCAAAGCAGAACTCCTTTCTGCTTATCACAAATTCTGAAAAAAATGCTCACGTGAGTCAAACATGCTTAATAGTGGATTTGTGAACTTATTCCACTACAGAGGCAGTGCAGACAGACAGGATGTGCAGAAATGGGAGCGCAGCTCTACCCTGGATTATTCACAACAAAGACATTGAGTTATTTTCGTTATAAATGTAGTGGAAGTGAGACAAAAACAAAGTGAAGACCATGGAAAATTGTATACGAAGAACTAATACATCAGTGTATTTACACAGCTTACACCCAATTATACTTCTTTTATCTTTGGTGTCCTGTGAACCACACTGAACTGCCAATTCAGTCAACTGTCAATTAAGTCATAAGGAATTTAGCTCATAAATACAGTCCTCTTAGTCCCTACCTCTACTTCAAGTAAGATACAGATGCAATTAAATTTTACTAGGACTTGCTAGCTCACGCTGTGTTTGTATACATATACCAAAACCTCACAATCTGGGTTAAAAGTATGAAAGAGCATTTCCTCTCAAAAAAGTTAATTCCAGGAGTGACATTATTAATCCCCAATTACCTTGATGTCACTTCCATTCAAACACATTCTGTTGATGCGACTGCCATTTGGTCTGCTGGAATCAATCCAATAGATGAACTCTTCTCTATAGTCGAAGTCTATTGCAATCACATTGTTCAGCCCCTAAAAACAGGGGAAAAAAAGTCCATTTATTCAAATATTTAAATACAAACTGTTGGATAGCATTCAGAATGCAAAATACATTGCATGTAATATTCAAAATACTTTATTTTAGTGACTGTACATTTTTGAAGTACCTCTCATTTTTCTATACACTACTTGTAAACAATCAGAATAAGATACAAATTGTAAGAGAAAAATATGGTAGCAAAGAACGATCTCACTTCAAAGATGCAGATGACATGAAACTAAATGAAGCTTCTGCATTTTTTCTTTCCTATTATTACAATGAACTTTAGCCGTAAATACTTAAACTTTTGCTCAATTTCTCTGTTAATTACTTCCTTTGGTACTACTTTGGCAAACTAGATGACATCCATTTTTTAAAAATAAACTCAGAAATAGCATAAAATTTATCATCTTATTGAAAACATTTCATTATTAATATAAATCAATCAGAAATTAAAAACTGTGATGTTCAAAAAAGCAGTAATTTTAATTCCTGAATAAGGAGGTTTTAAATTCTTAGATGCTGTATTATATGTACCACGTACATAAATATATGTGTATACACATAAGCACAAAAGTAGTATATACATAAAGTGTGAAAGTTAGAGATCCAGCAGACACCTGAAAGTCTCCTATGGCTCCAATCATTAAGCCAATACATGCTAATTAAGAGTGGTGATCTTATTTGACATACTTCTATAGGCTGAAATGAGCAGTCACCTAATAATGGCTTTTCATCCCCAGTGGCAGGTAAGACAGACAAGTATTGCATTCAGATGATGGCTCCTATTTCCTTATCTGAATCTAGGAAAGCCTTGCCCCACCATCCACTTAACATTCTCGTATGTAACGAAATCACGACCATTCTGAATATACAAAGATGTAGTTATCAATCAAAGAGGGAGAAGCAGGGCTAAAAAGAACGGATGCAGTCTGCCCTCCTTTTAAAACTGCAAGATCAGTTAATCAATTCCTTTATTAGCCCCATGACATCATACTCTCAGGCAGATGACCTGATAACCTCCCTAGTTACCAAAAGTCGTAGTTGTAGAGGGTATGTGCTGGACCAGTCAACTCTAAACAACTAACATCATCATTTAATTGTGCAGAAAGTGATACATGGCTTATTGGCCAACTAGTAAAGTGAAATACTGTAAATCTATCTTTTCATCAGAATGCAGAGGAAAAGAGTGATTAGGCTGTACAACTCATCATTAAAGAAAGCCTAAACCACTGAGTGTTGGAGGACGACTCATTTTCGAAAATCATATGTCCATGCACAGTTTTTTTTAACAAAACCAACCGCAGCTCTGTCAGTCATAACTGTGCTGCAAAACACTTTTCCTGTCTCTTTTTCTACTATTAGCATAAATGCATCTACAGATAAACCCCCAGTCCAAATTCTTAACAAAGGAGACAAGTGAATGAATACAAAAGACTACTAAAATTTTGTAATGTTCTAGAAATCAAACTCAGTAATTTGTAAAATATTAGCCTTTTATCTGCATATTCTACAGCGCCGTAAAAGTTAATCTTAAGTACCCAGACTAATAAAGAGAACTGCCTGCCTGCAAGTCTTTACTTTCAAGTGTTTGATTTTGGGTCAGCTTATTTCCAATATTTATCAAAATATCAACTGCAGGTAAAATTATCTCTGTGTATCTGCAACAGAGTTCTCTGTTCAGACAACACCTCCTCTTCAGGATCTACATGTCACTTTTAAGTCCTCCTAGCATAATTCTTTGTCATTTCTCATTTAATCCATTTTTAGAAGGAACAGGGAAGCTTTCAGATGGCATCAGCCTCTCATCTTAAACCCGTGGTTTTGTTTGTTTCTCTTACATACAGCACATGGTACCCTAAACCCTAATTTCCATTGCCTTGATGCCCCAATTGAAAAAATGTAAGTAAAAATCACAAAGAATGAGGAGGAAGATTCTCTCTACCTACTCTGCCTATGGAAATCCTAAGGATTTTGGTGACTAGGGGTGAAGGAAATGGAAGGCAAAGAACAGACATGAGACAATTCAAACAGTTGTACTTTTTATGTATATTTAAAAAAAAAAAAGAAAAAAAGAGAGGAAAAAGCTGGCACATAACAACTCAGAGAAGACTGAATGAATTCCTACTTTCAGCTCCTTTACTCTGAGTTTACATGAACAACAGTTAGAATGGCAAAGCACAGATCAAATACACAGAGGAGGACGGGTTTGCTCCTTTGCCAGAGCAGCTCTGGTATTTGCCTTCATCTGGTAGATGTCTAAGAGCCGATCTATCGTAACACTACAAGGACAAAAAGATGTCCTTATGAGGAAGACAGCCGACCTGTTCTGCTGGTATAGCTCTCTTCTTTTAAAAATGTTGTATTTGTAGGGTCAAAGGCCAGTAGGATCAATAACAGAGGAATTCATTAGACTAGTGAATTAATGTCATATGGAAAACACAGATTCTCTTCAATGGCTGGAGCTACATGGTCTCTAACGTACTGAAGAGGAGTCCATTAAATTCAAGACTGATGAAGCTCTGAGTCAATCTGTCAGCACCAACCATAAAGAAAATTTACTGTTGCTCCCCTCTTTTCACAGGCTTCTATGAATAGATATACCAGCAAAAGAGGAGAGAGGCAGTGAGATGTAAATGAGAGGCAGTCAGAAGGATTTCAGAAGAACAGACAGACTCTAAGATAATGCTTGCTATGCTTAAATAAAGTCAATGTTTAATGCAAGATGGTTAATTTTGTAATTACTGTCGTGAAGACCTGAGCATCTCTCTTGTGACATTAAGATGCACAGCTTACTGACACAAGAAGTCACAAAAAGCCTGATGCTATTGATTGGCAAGAACTGCTTTTCTAGTCTTTCTACAATTCTTTAATTAGTACTCAAGGAAATACATGTTTTTATTAAAACATATTTTGGAGCTCTAATCTATGGCAAGTAACTACACTTAGGTGAAGCAAAGAAGCAGAGCAGAAACTGCTAAAAATGTCAGCTCTGTACTTACTAGGTGACTTTCTATTTTTGTAGTTTTTTTTTCTTTTTTTTTTCCTGTTATAATTATTTAGAGTAATTATTAGAAAAAATTGATTTAGCCAAAGATATATGTTCATGTATTCTAATATTGTAAATGTTGGAATTGTCTGTCTAAATCAAAAAAACCCAGTTTTGGATTATGACAGTAAGTAGTTCAAATAATATATGGCCAAATAGTTTTTTGAATATTTTTTTTTTAAACAAACATATACAAATTGCACAAAACATATTGTGATGGAAGAGGATCACAAATAATTTTTTTTAGTATGACTGACGAAACAACTGCCTGAGCTTTAGTCATGTCAAATTCAGATCAAATAGTAAATTTAAAATACTATAAGAACTCTGAAGATACTGCAGTTGTTCTATGATTCACATAATGCCAATTGTAGGATGATGTTTCTGTCAGTTGCACACTTTAGAAAAGAATAAAAGTACTGAGTTAAACTTAGAGCATGGTACTATGATTATACCTGTTTCAACAAAGTGTAGTTGGATCCATCAGTGCTAATTTTTCTTATTTCATGATGATCAGCCAGAATTAAGAAAGGTTCCTCATCTAAACCCCGGGAGAAAGAATATATTAGACTAGCTTTTACGTTAATTTATGGAAAATCAGGAATACAATGCTGAAATACAGATGGTTTGAAAAATAAATGTTACATGCTCTGATCAATGTTATGGATGAAAGAAATATTTAAAACATTCAAATGTTCCAAGAAAGATCAATGATGCAGTATAAAAATGAACAAAGCAATCAATTAGTATATCTTTCAATGTAATTTATTTATTTTTGCCTTTGTAATATGGGAACCATACTGTATTTTAGGCTAATTTAATGTCAGAGATTAAATTTGAAATATATTTCATTCCACTTGTTTTAACTTCAATATTCACTTTCAACCTATCACTAAGACTATTATTTGTTATGGCTGAAAACCAAGCACATTTTGACTGTTGTTTTTTGAGATTTCAATACTCTGAGCAGTGTAGCCATAAAGAAACAGCTATTTGGACAACCTTGATTCTCTAATTCTGAACTAAAGCATGATTTAGCTTTTTTACTCCTTGTTTTCTAGTTTATCAAAAAACATTCTTCAGATACTCATTCATGCCATTACTTACTTTGAAACATCTCTGACATTGACATATATAATAGTAAAAAAAAGTTAAAAAACTGTCTTTATCTTTAGCTCTATTAACAGAGATCTCAGCTAAAAAAAAACCCAAAAAAACCCAAAAAACCACAAACACACAAAACAAAAAACCCGCCTCAAAACAGAACATCTAATAACAATGAAAAACGTATTTAAGACTTGTATCTACTGCTTATACATTCTGGAATGTAATGTGTTTTCCAAACCACTCTGTTCTTGTGCTGAATACATTGTATCGCCTTGCTTGCATTTTATGTTCAAATCAAGACATTCTCCAGTTCTTAAACGATCCGAGGAATCACCCTCAGCACTGATTGCTAGTGGTTTGTGGAGAATGGCTGTAACGCTCTGCTCTGCTGTAAAACGTTCAAGGCAATTTATGCAAGAAACCACATTAGGCCAAACATCCACACGTTGGCACCTTCTTGCAGCACAACCATCCTTGCTGCAGCACAAACAGCTTTGTCATGATCACTTTTGAAATTTGATTTATTACAACTCCAGTGAACTGTACCATGATGTGTTCCAGCTCCCCTTCTCATCCGAGTGATCTATGGCTTCTAAATCTATGAATGGCTCGCAAGGGGTGAGATGGGAGTAAAGCAAAAACCAGATTCTTTACTTCTGCTCTCTCCTGTGTTTCCCCTGGTTACTCAGGGAAGCACTGGAGACAGGAATACAAGGCAGACAGAGGTTCCAGTCTTCTTGTCATTTAGAAAAAAAAAATAGAAGGTTTTTTGAGATTTAAAACCAAACCAAAGCCAAACAACTCTGTGCAAGACTGGAATAAGGAGCAGTCTGCTCAAGGTGAAGATTGCCTGCACTATGAAGGAAATCCAGCAGAACGCAGTAATGGTTTTTTTTTGTTTCTTTCCTGTTGACATTTTGCTCTTCCTTTCACTGATCTAGCAAATCCTACTCACTGAAGCACATAAAAACAACATCAGTGGCTCAGACAGAGGGGAAATAACCAATGTTCATATAAATCTTGAACTTTACTGTGTATTACATGTAATACTGGCAGATTTCATATGCTGTAGGAATAATGGATTTTGCAATTTCTATTATTTTTTCCTGTTCTTCCTTTTCATGCCTGGAAGTTTGACGTACATTCTAATATTCTAAAGTTGATGAAATAAAACAGCAGGAGTCTTTTAAACACTTATCATACACATACTATTAGTATGCGACTCAGAAGTAGAATTAAGTGATGTATTTTAACTTTCAAGTTACTAATTCAAACTTTCATAATCCACTGTAACTATTCACTACAAATGATCTGAGCACAACACACACTAAAAATAGAAAGAACTCATTATTACATTCAGACATGGAATCACATTCCTATTGTTTATTGAAGAAGTAGTGTACTTCAAAGTAACACAGACCTTGGGGTTAAGTTATTTCACAAACTATTTTGGGTACAGCTGTGGATTAGGAAAAAAAAAGTGATACCTGAAAGGGATTTGCAGCCATTTAGGTTATCAGGCTGTATTTCATACCCATCTGCACACAAACATTTGTAGGTTCCATATGTATTGATGCATTGCTGGCTACAGGGAAATCCAGTTGAGCATTCATCAATATCTATACATGTTTTGCCATCATCCTTTAGCCGGAATCCAGGCCAGCATTTACACTGGGAACGAAAACCAAGTACATTCATTTTGAATTACTCATTGATTTTGTTTGTTATCTTATGTACTTGTGAATATGTTAGCATCAAACTTTTGCACGTACTCTCAGTTTTTCAAATAACATCTTAATTATGTCGCTACTTATACTGTTTACAGGCAGATATACTTGCATTTCTTTTCAGCTATTGCTAGGGTGATCCTAAGTACCATTCCCTCCCAAAAAGCCCTGTAGAATGAGTAATTATTCTTTCTTCTTTAACTGAAGGAAAAGTAAAACACATCTTTTTCGATTCTTCCATGAAGATCATGATGGATGAAGTTTTTTATTTTCAAGTACATGTGCTTTTTGGTAAAGATATACAGTCTTTAACATTTTTTTCTTGAAGCACTGATAACATCTAGCATTCTGTGTAACAGATACATTAATGTGAATGAGAACTCTCAAAGCTGATTTTTATTGGGGACTGAAGATCACTGTGGGAAGCTTATCACATGCAATGTGAGCGATACAAAACAGAACCAGGTAGACAGGTTTTGAAATCGGGGCATAGTTTTATCAGTGGAAAACACTGTGTCCTTTTCCCTCCGGTATCCCTCTGTTATTCTCTGCAGAGACCCATGACATGCTTTGTCCCTAACGATGCTATTTCAGCAAGGTTTTTGCTGTACCCAGTCTAGTCTCCAGCTCTCTAGTCTACAGCCTCCCGACTAGGACATGGTTTCAGAGGGTGGAACACCTTTAGAGCTAAGCCATGCTGGACAGATTTTATTTAGTTTGCAGTGGGCCAATGTTCTATTAAAAAAGATGAAACGTTTGGGGCTGCAGTTAGGGTTACTTCAGAGTTAAAAAAAAAAATCTCAAAGAAAAAATCTCTTCTGTTCTCAGCCTCTATATACAGGTTAGTGCTGTCAGTGGCTAAGGTTTACGTAATATCCAAGAAGTATTCCTCTCTGCGTCTCAAGGCCAAAGAGCAGATTCAGGTGATTCAGAACACACCATCACATGCAGACAACTAACACTTTTATTCTCCAAATAAGGCAATTACACTTTGTTTAAATATTTCTGTAAGAGTCTGACTTAGAAAAAGATTTGCAGAAAACTGTAATTCCTGCTATTTGCTCCTATGAATTTTCCTTTTTCACAACTGTTTTTCAGTGCTCTGCATATATCAGTATGATTTGTTGTATTTAAAGCATTGTATGTTCTCTTCCATAGGTTTAAAGTATGCATTGTACCTGGGTTTGTATACAATTCATAATTGTTTGCTTGCTGGAAATAAAAATTTGAATGTCCTTACTCTGGTAGGTAAGCTGCTTCATTACAAGGAATTACAACACACTAAAGTTTTATCATAATCACGTAGTAGTTAAGGAACAATTAAGAATTTGCACTACATTACACAACGTTTCGTAATTATTCACCTTGTATCCAACAGGAAGATCCTGACAATCTTGAGAACAGCCGCTAACTTTCTTACTGAGGCATTCATTAACATGGCAGCTTTTCTCATCAGATCCATCATTACAATCTTCTTTCTTATCACAAACATCCCTTTGAGGAATACACTTGCCATTTTTGCACATAAAAAAAGAGCTGTTACATGTCTGCTCTGGAAAACAAAAAAGAGAACACAACTTTGTGTCGTCTATCAGTATCTGGAACTTTCTCATGGACTAGCTGCAATGTGTACATGAGAGATGAAAAAATTGTGTAAAAATTGAATATTTGTTTCTTATTTATAGTATTCTAATACCTTTTTACATTTCAGTTTTTTTTAAAGGTTCATCCCTCTCCTGAAAAATGTGTAAAAACTTCAACATATTATTCACTCCTACACATTTGTTTTTCTTTTAATTGAGAATCCTCTACGTTATCTCTACACAAAATATAACTCTATAGTTTGCAAAACTCAAAAAGTATGGCTTCTCTCTCCTGTGGATGCTGAGGAGTTTAGTATCATGACTGACCGAATTCTGACGCATCTCTTGTCTCAGGACACACATGATTTTTTTTTTCCCCTGTTTAGCAAAATTGAAAACATCAGCTTAGCTACATTCAGATTCTTCAAATCAGAATCAGAACACTTATACTATAGGTATGTTGCTTTACCTCAAAACAAATCAGTGGTTTCCATCAAAATCAGTATAAAGGACTGAACTACTGTGCAATAAAGTTGTAAGACCTAGACAGAAGAACTGGTCTTTCAAAAGGCCACAGAATAGGATATGATATACACACCAGGATTCATTTTGCACTCAAAAACTAGTCAGATCTCAGCAAACTTACACCAGTAGAAAATATCAGTAAAATAAATCACATTTGGTCAGTAATTTGCTCATAAAATTAGACCAGTTTTTAAACATAGAAAGAACAACCTAACATCTCCTTTTGTATGATCTAGTTCTGTGTGATAAGTACATTAAATATATCAATATGGGTAAATATATATGTATATATGTAATATATACACACATATGAGACACATAACATATATATATATAAATAAATGTCTAGGGCAGGCTATAAACTTTGATAATAATTACGTTAATATAATCTTATTTTAATACTAACAGAATTGTATCCACTAATGAACTAGCAGCCATCCTATGCTGTAGGAACTGATGGTTTGAACTTCGTGAGCTGACGTTTTGGATGCTGAGGACTGACAACACATTCCCCTTGCAAGACATAAGGAATATCACCATGAAAGCACTGGAGATTTAAGCTACAAGGTTTTACATTTGCCTATCTACAATCCTAAACCATTGTTTTCCAAAAAGAAAATTGAAACGTGTTATTCAAAAAAATTAAATACAAACCTGAACTTTTGCATTTTATGTTTATAGGTGCTTCATCAGAATGGTCTGGGCAGTCGAAATCACCGTCACATTGCCACTGAGAATTTAACAGGCATCTTCCATCAGCACAAGTAAACTCTCCAGGACGACAGTGACGATACCCTAGAAATACAGCAATCAATGACTTCATACTTCACTTCGTACTTTTGACATAAAATTAGAAATAAATACAAAGCATTATACGGGTATAGATGAGTACCCACCAACAAAAAGAAAAATCAAATGTCTCTTATGCAGCACAGTATAGTCATTAAACAATTCCCACATATTTAAAAAATATTTATGCAGCTCTCAGTCATAAGTACATTTTCTTTTAGGTGTAATTTAACTTTTTTCTATGATTAGGAAATAGCTTTCTAACAGACATTTCAGAAATTACTATACCCAGAAAATATTTTTGTGATACGGTTAGTACTATATGCTTTCACTTTAAAACATGTAGAAGAGCAATCATTTTAACCACAACAAACATGTATTTTCTAAGAAGAATATATATAAAACAGATACATTTTCATAGCTAAAGTGGATTTCTAACAAAAAATTATAGTATCTAATGAAGTACAGAAACCACAGACAGGCAGTCGTTTCTGGGAACACAGCTGTTTAACCTAGAGCTCAAAAACAACAAGGCAGCAGAAAAACTTAGAAAAGTCAGCACAAATTTAGTTTTTTCTATTCAATTTTGAAAAGGGAAAGTTGAAAAATTCCCAGAGGGAAAACCACTTTCTATTTGTAAGATATTTACTTGTAAAATTCTTTACACCAAACCAAATACTAAAAAACATATGTTCCTGTTTGGGAAAGAAAAGTGTAACTTTTACTGCATTTTCTGTGTATAAATTCTGCCTCAAATAATCTGTAGTCTTTTAAAAGAGCCTTGAAAGATCTTATAGCAGCCTTCCAGTACTTAAAAGGGGCCTATGGGAAAGCTGGAGAGGGACTTTTTACCAGGGCGTGTAGTGATAGGACAAGGGGCAATGGCTTTAAACTGAAAGAGGGCAGATTTTAGATTGGATCTAAGGAAGAAATTTTTCACTCTGAAGGTGGTGAGGCACTGGAACAGGTTGCCCAGAGAACTTGTAGATGCCCCATCCCTGGAAGTCTTCAAGGCCAGGTTGGATGAGGCTTTGGGCAACCGGGTATAGTGGAGGGTTTCCCTGCCCATGGCAGGAGAGTTGGAACTAGATGATCTCTGAGGTCCCTTCCAACCCAAACCATTCTATGATTCTATGATAATATGAAGTAAATATGGTTCTAAATTAACAGTTATATAACAACACTCATTCCGATTACGAAGAATGTTTTTGCAACTTTAAAATATGGTTCTAAATTAACAGTTATATAACACTCATTCCGATTACGAAGAATGTTTTCGCAACTTTAAAAAAAAAATAATCCAAATGATGTTGAATTATGTTTAACATTCTTTCCCTCTGAAAAAAATGCAGATTCTAAGCTCAAAAAATTTGATTCTTCGAAGAAATATATACAAATTATAGTAACTACGGAAGCTGTGAATATCTGAAACAAGCACTGACAACTTTCGACTATCTAGAAGTAGAAAGTTAATATTTGTTCTTTTCTTCTAATTACTGTATTTCCTATTTGTATATTAGAATATTTTTTTTCTGATAGACATTTGATTGTCTGAGATGAGATATCCATCTACATCAAGAGCTTTAAACCTCTTGTGTATCTTTAGTTGTCATTTAGAAACGTGTTCATGTACTATTCAAAATGCAATATGTTATTACATCAATTACAAATATTAATTGGAATTCAAATTATTTTGTGGTCTCTTGAAGGTGTTTTACACCTTTTTTTTTTAAAGGTGTTTTACACCTTTTTACACCTATCTGTTTTACATAGATTATGCTTAAAAGAAGATAGGCTGACTTGATATGGAAAAGAGTTGAAGCTTTTTGGTTGTCTGAGACATTTTTGAGTGTAGGATTTTATAGACCAACAGCTTTACCTCCTATCTGCAGTGTTTCACAAGTATGTCATCATCAGAAAGGTCATTACAAACGTGCAAAACAATCACTTCTGCCTAACATCACCTCTGCTCTGGATGACAGGACATAAAGAAACTGGAAACTGAAATTAGAAAATCCCTCCTATTCCTGTATTTGTCTTTTGATTAGCCACATAAACAAAGTATTTCATCTTCTTGATGAATTTTCATATTATTGAACAGAGGGGTTTTTAATTTTTAGTTTATTTTCAAGAACATAATAAATACATTACAGGATGACACAGTGGCTCAGTATTCTGCCTGACAGAATGCATTTTGTTCTCTTGCTCTCCCCAGTTTGAATTATTGTGGGTTTTTTTTGTTTACAAATAATTAACTATTAAAATTTAATTTTAAAACCAGAATTACACCATGGAATCAAATCTTATATCAAAGAATTTTTCAAGGATTAGAATGATTGCAAACTTTTAAAATCTGATTGGATGCAAATTCTGATAGAAGTAAAAACTGGTTACTCCAATCACCAGTCCCATTTTTATATTATATCTGGATAATACTCTAGAAAAGAACAAGAAAAATAGCTTTAAATGATACAGATAAAAACCCAAAAAAATCTAGGTTTTAAAATGGATTCCCTTAACTCAGCTTTTAGGAATATATTTCAAACCAAATTTCATTGCATACAGTAAATTAGTTGCTGAAGATTATCTTTTTTATTTTTTTTTTTAAATATCAAGATACTATCGTTTAGCTCTAGAACCTAATAGAGCCATGATCAGGCTACCTAGTTTACAGTCAAATAAAAAAAAAAAAAAATCACACTTCTAAAATCTTGGTGAGTTAGGTGGTTTATTTTCAGATCCTGACCACACCTTGGAAAGTCTGTTTTGGAATTTGATTCCTACTCTACGAGTATTTCCCTTTCTAATAAAAGAATGCAACCCTTTCCTAAAATTACACTATAACGAGTTTACCATACTAGTCACACACTAAGGTGTGTATTTGACTACCAACTAACAGAAAATTGCATTCTAACAGTGCGACACACAACAAAAATGCTCTAGATATCAGTTTACTTAGTAGATATTAAATAGAGCCAGTGCCTGAAGGCAGGTCCATACTACAATTAGATCAGGCATTTGCACATCCTTTGCTTCTCTTGCTGTTTCCTCCTTCTGCCTCTTTCCAAAAGTCTATCAAACCATCACTATGTATTTGGTGGTATTTTAAGGGACCGTGCATGTATATGACGCACATTTAATAGAGTAAATAAGCAATATAGATTTTAACTGCACAAAATCATGATTATCAGTAACTCACTTGCCTTTTTTGGACAGAATATTTGCTCTGTTTTTTCCATAAATATTAATTAGATAATGTGTGTTTCTGAGTATGGCCTAGGTATACTGTACAAGCATTCAAATAATATATAAGGAACCCTAAATTTCTAGGAATGGTCAAAATTACACATTCACACATGGCTTTAGTTGATATCATTTAACTGCAGTGATAATCATGACAGAGATGTTTCATTATTCGACAGAAAAAACACATGTATAGAGACAAAAACCAAAAAAAGGTATATAAAAAGATAAACATAATGAACAAGAGATCATAGGTTGTACATTTTTAAATTCTGTTAAATGTTATTAGCAATCATTTGTAAATGACAACTATACCAAATAATTTGTCGTTGTAGCTCCAGCTCCAAGTTAAAACCAAATTGTATTCACTATTGCATAATTTAAGTTAACATCAAAACCATTTTCAGAAGCGAAGAGCTTTCTTTTTCAATAGTGACTGAAAGTAACAGACCTTGCAGAAGGCCTTAGAGTTAACAGCCTGGAATTATATTGTTTACTCTATTTTTGTTATACTTGCCACATTCCAGAGATTCATCTGATCCATCTCCACAGTCATCATCATGGTCACATACAAACTGTTTGGGAATGCAGACTTTGTTATGGCACATGAAAGCATTCTCGTCACAAGTGTTATTAGGAGCTAAGGAAAATACAGTACATAAAAAAAAAAAAGACATTGAGAACAGTAAGATATAGTGTCATTTTTTTACAGAAAGATGAAATGAAAAGTAGTTACTCTGAGTGGATTCAACGGAAATAACCATAACTTTTGAGTCATACAAAGTGCACCACACAATTCAATAGCAGAAAAAGCTGCTCATCACCCCAAAGATAGCTGAAGAAGTAAGGATAGCTAAAAACCTCAGGTAATCCAGGACAGAAAGGCTTCAGAAATTGATGCTGTCAGCAACTAACCTCAGGTCTGCCTCTGAGGAAAAGAACATTTGGGAAGTACAGATGTCCTTCCTATGTTACTCTGCTCTGAAAAAAAGCTCTTTAAAATCCATAAATACCCATAATAAAACTCAGCCTAGAAATGGTAAGTGACAGAATAATCATCCAATGGAGAGAATATATTCTGATATTTTCAACCTATACCAATTTTATATACATTAATGAAAAGAAACCCCTAATGAAACTACTACTGACATTTTGAATAGAAATGTACCTCAGAAGACTGGAAGTAACAGTTTATGGGGCACGAGATGTCAAGATCTGAACAATCAGCCAGAATAAATTGGAGACAGAACTGTATCTCCCTTTTTGATGCACGACCTCCCTGACGTGCAGCAGCATTTTCTCCGGGAAGAGCAATAAAGCTGCATAGTCAATAATGTGCTAATTTTCATTAGTAAACATGCTGCATAATGTCCACGATGTGACACGCATACTGATCTTCAGCTGCTGTGCCTCAGCGTATATTAACAAAACCGGAAGATGTTAGGCTGATTTCATCGAAGGATCCTGGATCCATGCGTGGTCTATCGAACTTTACTGACAATCTTGACAGTATAAGGCTATGATGCTACAGACACAAAAAGCAGCTGGATATTGCAAAGGCAAAACTTCCAAGAAAAGAAGAGCTACACGTTTTTAACATGCAAACATACCGCAGCCTGCTGTGGACAGCTCGTCACTTCCGTTAGGACAGTCTCTTTCACCGTCACAGAGCCAGTGTTGGGGAACACAGGCACGGGAGCCTGAGCAACTGAAGGTGTCTGCTGCACAGGTCACTGAACCTGAAAACACACGTGAGTCTTGGACATGTGCTAACTGATTTTTTTAAGGTAACAGAAAATGGCTAGGTAAGGTTTTTTTATTTTAAAATAAAACTGGAAGAAGATTTTGTTCTCCACAGTATGAAAAACACACTACCTAAGACTGATTATCCCTGTTCCTTGCAGGGGAGTTGGACTAGATGACCTTTGAAGGTCCCTTCCAGCCCTAACCATTCTATGATTCTATGATTTTACAGTAAAATTTTACAATTTGTTCAGTCTCAATTTTCTGCAAGGACATTTAATTTACCATGCTTCATGAAAACTATCCAGCAGAAGAACTTTTCAGATCACTTGTGGTCTTTATGTTGGCCTGCATGTTTGGACTGACCGAACAAAGGAACTAATCTTGTACACCACATAATCCTCACATCACTATGTCCTATGCCAAGAAGCTAAAGGTATTCACAACTTGCGTGAGTCAGCCCCATGTCGAAGAGAACAATTAGCACCAAGTACAATAGTAGTGGGAGTACGACAATGTCTGACAGTTCTAAAGTAACTCACTCAAAATATTGTTTATTTGACTAATTTATGGGTTTTTTTTAACAAAGTTTTCTCCAGATAAGAATATTATATCCTAGGATTAATTTGACTCTGTTTGGAAGAAAACTTTTGCACAATCCATCACTTAATGTATTCTCTTAGATAAGTTAAATATACTTAGCTAAAAAGGAGACAGTGTATTTTCTACAAATTTTAATTAGAAATTAATAACATAGTAAACCAAATTTAAAAATTAGTGGTTTTTTGGTATTAGTTATGCAAGAGAAACAACTTTTGTTTACTTATACTTATTTGCCATTTTTTGATACTTCTGAAGTTAAACTTCATGATAAATAAATATTGTTTTTGTAAGACTAAAATATCTGAAGTCATCTTGATCTCTTTTCTTCTTGCAATTCAGATCTGTCTCCTGTTCCTAAGGAGAAATACAGCCTTAACTCCTCCCTCTTTGTAACTGTTGTGGATTTTTCCCTCTTCAAGAGATGGTCCACAATTTTATGGGCGGGCTTTCTTCTAATAAGAAATCTACAATGTATTGCAAGTCAAAATATCGAAAGAAGTAATTCTGAACAATTTTAGAAGAAAAAAAAGACACTTGGCAATTTGCTGGCCTTTGTTTTCCCCTCCCTTTTTCTACTTTCTGCTCTAAGTTTCCTATTAAGCTTCAGGTCTTTATGTTTCACATTGTTCTACAGTAGTCCCGGATGAGGTGCTTATCTTCTCATTTCACACCTTCTTGTCTTCCTAGGGGAGAAAGGTAGAGAGAAATCTTCCCTTTCAAACAGTCGTGACCTCCATCTCCCCAGTCCTCAGCAGGACTTGAATACCATGAAAAAAATGTACTGTAGATGGATGTCAGCTTGAAGTTAATGTAGTAATTCATTCATATTTTGCCATATTAGAACAGTATAATTACTACTTTTGTCCTTTGCATTTGTTGGCATTTCTACATCTGCGTTTGATTAAGAAACTACTTGAACAAACCAGAACTCTGAACATAAGCTGAAGAGATTTCTTCTCTGTCTACTTAACACTTCCAGTAAAGTCATCAACAATATTTTTACTGTGGTATCAAATATGAAATATGGAACAAAATATTCTTTATTGAATGGACTTTAAGTAAAAGGATTTTTGAAAAGGAAGAAATATTTAAGAGGTAAAAGTTAAAATTTTAAAAATAAAATCTTAAAATACAGTATGGATAAGAGTGGAACCAATGTTAAAATATCATGAATTTGTGACTGTATGACTTGACACAATGTGATTTTCTTTTGAAAAGAATTCACTAACACATTTCCAGTCAACTGAGCCCCTGAATGAAAGTAAAATTTTCAATTCCTTATACGACTTGAAGGGTTTGGGAATTTGAGAGGCATAATACGCAAGAATGCTTACCACTGCATATACAAAAAACTAAAGAGAATAGGAGAAAGAATTGGGGAAAAAAAATCAACGACTTCAGAGTCTTCAGGCACCCACCACTGAAACGTAAAACTCAAATAGTGATAAAGGAGTTTGTCCTCAAGGATGGGAATTGGAGAAAAGCTCGGATCCCCTTTTGCCCATGCTGGTATGCCATTCATGTCTTCACTGATAGACCACACACAAATCATACAGTCCCCACAAAAAGGTATCTAGCTGTGTGTAAGCACGTTCTCTCTGCAGATGCTGAACACGTTTCCACCACCATCTCGGATCACTTGGTCTCTTTCAGCATGTATGATCTGACACAATACAGAACTAAAATTACTCTACTTACCACAAATAGCATCACTCTCATCTAAACCATCTCCACAGTCATCCTCACCATCACAAGTCCATTGCTTCGAGATGCATTTGTTCGCAGAGCAAGCAAATTGATTCCATGAACAAGATGAATCTAGGAATGACATCAGCCACTGCATTTGTTAGGTTCACCAACAGCACTGTGTTCCCTGTATTTTCTAGCATAGTTTAGGAAACTCCACATCTCCGCACAGCTCGTTTCTGTCCTCCCAATTTTAGTGTATTTTAACACAGTATTATCCTAATCTTGGTATTCAGGATGTTATTAGTTTGTCTAAGAGTTTCCATTCACCAATATATTTATAAAAATATATAAATAAATACATAGTGAAACATTCAAAATGCTGACATTCTAATATTTTTGAACATTTTGTTGGTGGGATGAAGACACTTTAAAAATGTTAAATCTGGTTTGTGTATTTCACATGGATGTTGTAACTATAGTGAACTGCTTCATTTTGCTAGTAGGGCAGAGACAGCACAGTCCAAATTTTCCTTCTTTCCTTCTTCTTGGTATTGTGGTATTTAATTGCACCTTTAAAAGATCTGATGTTCTTTTCTCTCACAGGAAAACTTGCTGTGTATTTGCATTCCATTGTCCTATTTACACTTTTGTATACGCTGAAAATAATGGCATGTTTCTGCATTTTAAAATCAGTCTGCACAACTGTTCTAAATAAATGCTACTGTTCTGACCTTTCCTGAAAGCTTCAAATCATCCCATTTTTCCTGACTTCTTTCTTTAAGAGTAAAATGTATTTTGTTTTAACTGATGAAAACAAATTTTAATATTAACAATAAATAGAATTTTAGGTAACACAATCTGAATTTAAAAGTAGACCATTCTAACAACTACCTCAAAATGAGAAAGAACACTAAATAGGGAAAAAAGAATGTACTAAACCCTCTTCCCTCTCTCCCACAAAAAACAGCTAAAAGGTTTTACAATATTGCATATAAGTATGTATGTGTAATAAAACCTGGAAAAGTAAATATTGAGTTATGCCTGATGAATGTGGTCAACACAAAACCTTCTGGTTTTCACAGTGCACAGTAGCTCCTAATTTGGAAGTGTATATATATATATATATATAAAATGTAAACTGCAAACCAAACATGGAAGCATGTTAATGGAAACCAGCTCAGAAAGACAGTAACATAGAAATCAGTCATGTTAAGTGGTAAAGCAGAAATTTCAGGTTTTATTTAAATGAGGAATAGGAAAACTTTATACTGCCTTTGCTGTTCTGCTACAATTTATTTGTAGAAATAATCTGTTCTGGTAATCCACAGAAATTTAAATTAAAAGACCAGCTCTCACTGTGAGCAAAATCAACTTGCATTGCTCAAGAATAAGGTGGCGTTTAAGAATCTTGAAAGTTCTGAGACAGAACAGACCCTGAACTCGGTTCGTAGTTTATGCTGTATTTTATTCACACGACTTTTGTTGTTAATTTAAACAATTATACCCATAAGGCTTCTGATGCAAAAAAATGTCTATTTTTACATCATAAAGGTCCATTTTGGTTACTTCCTGTTAGGGTCACAAGATATTGATACGAACTGATTATATCTATAAAACTGTCCTAATGAGGAATTATGAAGAATTAGTGAAATTGTTATCTATTAAAGCAATAGAAAAGTCTTCATACAAACACACCTTTAGGAGAAAAAAAAAGTGTCGATAGGGCTTTCATTCTGGTATGAGATAGGCTTTAAAATATTGGCAGTCTGAAGTATTAGAGAGTTGGATCTGAAAATTTAGTATTAAAGACCTTTTTATATAGTTTTAGATTCAATCTCTGAGATATAAATGCACACATTCTCTTTTCAAAGAGCACTAGTGATTACAGAAATAAAAATAAGATAAAAAAGCTCACCACAGTGCAATTCATCTACTCCATCCTCACAGTCTTTCTGCCCATCACAAAGCCAGGTGGTCAGAATACATCTTCCACTAGGACAACCAAAATAATTTTCTTCACATGTGGGTTTGTTTTGAACTGTGATAAAATAAAGAATGTAATGTAAAATGGTCTCTACTAGTATGATTAGGAACCTAATACATTTCTGCCAAATTTCTGAATACTAATGGACAACAAAGTGCTGATGTCTAAAAATGTGAAAAAAATACTATTTATATTATTAAATCATGTTTGTACATGTTAGAAAATAGTGATAGCTAAGTAGTTTAGGAGGCTGAAATACTTTATTTATTTAGAGAAGATTCAGAGCACAGCCTCAACCTAACTTAAAAGGACCTGTAGAGGAAAGCAGTTCAGTTTTAGTGTTTTGAGCTCAGGGATCAACATTGTCTGTTGTTTTACACCAGCTGAAGAAATTGCCCTTCTGGTCTATCTGCCACCCTCTACAAGACAACCTAATTGTGGCAGTACTTCTGTCACATTTACTGGGATGAGCTACAAATCTGAAGCATGCACCAACTTGAGCTATCCCACTGATGTTGGAGCCAGAGACTTAGACTTTGCCACAAATAAAAAAGTTCTTCCTTGCCTTTTTTCTTTGTAGATTGTGAAAGTCATTCAAGATTTTACTTCCATGAACACTCAGAAAACAGATGTGAGAAAAAAAACCCCATACTATATATTTTATGACATAAGCACAAACATTAGTCCAGTGTGTGGCAGAGATTATTTTCAAAATCTCAAGGTCTTTGCCTGGGAAAACCCAGGCGATATACACTAGTTACAAGCATTGGAGATCACCGAAGCTCTCTGCCAAGGCTTCTACGATTCCTGAATGTATTTGAGCTATTAACACTGGTTTTGTTCCTTCCCTCTCTCCCACCGTCCCCCCCACCCTTAAAAAGAAAATTAAAGTTATCATATTTATGGTTTCTACAGTTATATGAGTAGAAAAAAAAGAATAAAGAGTGGGATGTCTATGATGACTGGGTAGATATTAAAGATTGTCTAAGTTTAGCTCTATCTAAATGAATATTTTGCCTTAATTTTCTGTAAGAACAATGACACTGAATAAAAATTGTTAATAGGAATTAACATATTCACAACAGAAACAACACTCAAAAACTTAATGTGCCAAAGATGGTCAGTTTTGAATGAAATGGCAAAGGAAATCACATGTTGGTTGAATTGGAATGGTATTGCTTTCAAGTAGAGGGAGGAATGATTCAGGCAATTAGTCACACAGTGAAATGATAGAACTTTTTGGCACACATTTCAAAGACAGAATAAAGTAATACAACTAAATGGATGATGGAATAAAATGCAACGTTAGTTTACTTATGCAACATTAGTTTACTGAAGCTATAGCATTCTACCCTCAAAATCTTCTCTGGTATGAAAAAACCTCATACAAACAAAGGAAATACAGTAAATCTAAGCTATTTTGAGCTCACTGAAGCATATATACAGCAAATTGTAAAGAATTATTAGATAATCTGGATAATATGAAGATTAGAATGAAAACTATAATTTAATATGCATCTGGCTTCTAGGGAGGAAGAAAGTTCTTAATGCCAGGTTGACTGATGTTAACGCTGAAGTTCCAGGTTCCTCCTGGATCCTGGTAATTTTTTCAGCAATAAAATTGGCACAAAATATATGAAGATTCTAACAGAAGCTTTTGGTGACACAATGGGCTCCTCACACAAAAAAAACAGAATAATAAATGGGAATAATCAGATGATGTTAATTACTAGTGTAGCAAAAATTGGATGGTAATTAACAGAAAATCAAGTTTCATTTTTACTAATTAATAATATTTATTAAATAGTAAATATTTATTTTTACTAAATAATAATTCTAAGAAGAAAGAGATGTATTTGACATAGGAAGACAATTACAATCCAGCACAAGTCGACTATAAAAACAAACATTAAAACAAATTTTAAATGCATTTTCACTTATACAAGGCAAAAGAATAACTTCATCTGCAATACTGGATACTGGTCTGTATGTTCAAGAAAGATGTAGGTGGAGATGACTAAGATGACACAGATAGATATCCCTATATTGAAAGCAGGAATTCTAAAATGCCTTGTCTTATTTGCCATTGCAAGTGAAGTGTAAGGATATGATCACTGAAGGACTACAGTGTCCCTCTTAGTGTAAGAACAGCTATAAACTGGAATATATGTGGACTAGAAATTAAAAGAATGAATGAGGTTCTGGAAGATCATAGTAATAGGAATATTATGAGAAAAAAACACTACTGATTTTTAATTCTAAATATTTTTGTATAAAAGCTCAAGGTGCAAGATAGGAGATACAGGCTTGACATCCTCAGAGTTGTTTTGCCAGTGCCCTGTCTTCAGTTTGATCAGAATTGCATGGTATGGGCCTAATCCTACAAATATATATCAACAAACTTGTGTTCATTAAAGCTTACTCATTCTAAATACAATTTATCACTTATTTTTAGGTGTGTTTACCTATGGTACTTAATATTTTCAAACTTAATTAAGAGGTTCTGAATAATAAAGGAGCATAGAAATGCCATTCTTCATTAGGTAAGAATTTAATATTGTGAATTATTAATTGGTTAACACTAAATAAGGTGTTAAATGTCCCAAAGATTGGGGTTAAGGAGTGCATAATCTCTAAAACATCTTACAAACCCTCATGAATTAAACTAAGTATTTATTCTTAATACAGCTAGATATTTACATCATTAAGAATTTGATTTTGTACAACCCTTAAGAATTTAGGGTAACTTAAATAACCTATGAAATAATACAAAGTAGGTGCTAAAACTGTGATTATGAGATAATGAGTGTTTCTCATGAGTGCAGAAGAAACTGCATGAGGGATCTTTCCGTCCATTGCTACTAGATCGGCTCAGAGGGCAAAACCATTGAAACATTAAAAACTTTATGTTAACTTCAGTTCAGTAATACTTAAGTCTGGTCACTTTGATAAAAATTGCACCACAAAGTCTCATGAATGTAGAGGCTTTCCTTCAAATTTATACATGCATATATCTTGAAAATGTATGTTTCTAATGTGTTAGTATTCTGGCTTCTCATGAAAAACTGTCAGAAAAAAATAAGACTTTAAAATGAAGTTTGCTTCTTGTTTCTTCCATTTAAGATATCTACTTCAGTTCCTGTTGTTATTGATTCTTTGCCCATCTCTATTTTAATAAGCATTTCATACGACTCATTTTCCAAGATACTAAGTTTATAGTTTTTTTTTTTCTACATGTCATAAAGGTATAATATCTTTCCCATAGGAGAGGGGAAAAAGACAGGGAAAATACAGAAAAGTAACATAATGTCCAGGTGTCAACACCTCTTTCTTTTCTGGAAGCTTACAGTCTCAGCCCTGGGACTGGGACTCAAGTGTACCATGATCTCTTTGTACTGGCTGAAGAGCAGAAACCATTACAGAAGCAACAACTCTGGATTCTACCCTGGCAGCCTACCCCAAGTACCTCAACAAAATAGAAGAGAAAGTTAAAAAAGTAAGCAAGAAAAGCAATATCATCCATTAATAAAAGGTCCCGAGTGATTGGGCTGAAGCTTGATGAGTTTGACATTTCAGTGACTGATGCTTTACTTAAATAAAAATGATTAATGACAGACCTAACCTTGAGGAAATAGAAAGCCAGACATTACAGTTTTCTTCAGAGAAATGCATTAGTAATTTGTGATAATTTGCATAATATAATGAAACACAAAATAAAGATTGGTGGAAAAAAAACTGCGTTCAGCGTTATATTATTCTCTGTATTAAATAAAGCAGTACTGGCTGAATAAACATTTTGCAGCACAATTAGAAAAGAAGAATTAGAAAATAAGAATTAGAAATATAGGAACATATTTTGCAAAAAAAGTAAATTCTTTTTTTTCCTTTTTTCACAGTTACCTGGGCATTTTAGTTCATCTGTATAATCTCCACAGTCATTTGATCCATCACATATCCATTCCGGCAGTATACAAAGTGAAGTCGAATTACAGCTAATAAATCCTGAAGATTTTATTCCAAGTTTGTAGAAGTAGGCACAGTTTGTATTATCTGCAAAGAGACAATAAATTATTCTATCACACATAACGCAGATTGAGAGCCTTATAGTTTGTTTTTCAGGTTTAGCTTGAGTTTGCACAGGCCATGCAGCTGCTGGTTTCCAACTAGTAATGGTTATGGAATAACTGCTATACAATAAGGAATAATCATGGAACAGATGCTACGATGAAGCACAGACAAACACGAACTTACTACAATTCTTTTCATCTGAAGCATCTGCACAATCAATGATTTGGTTGCACTGTGCTGATTTCCCAATGCAAATCCCATCTGCACATCGGAATTCTGTTGAAGCACACGTTGACTCTATAACATATGGTTATAAAAGATGTAAACTTGTTTACTAAACATACTCTTCAAATGCATATTATATCTATCGTGTTTAAACCTTCTACCTTTTAGGATGAGACATTCAGAACACGCTTTACCTTCCATAGGTAAAAATTCAGTAGAAATATAAGCCTAAAACTTGAAAGCACAAGTTTCTAATTTTTAAATTTAATTTTTAAGCCTAAAACTGTCTCTCTAGATAATTTGACTCAATTTGAGACAACCACCATGTGAGGAAGGAAGAAAAATTTTCAGGACCATCTATGAATCTCTCTGGTTTCTTTCATGTAACACCAGGCTGGGTTTTTGCCTGCATGCTTTTCTCTCTACTTATACTTTACTGAATGATTAAAAACCATGCAGTGCTTTCAAAACGATACTCTCTCATTTATTACTTCACAGAAGCAGCAGCAACTGTATTATCTGAGTTTTCCATTGCCAAAACCACCCTGCTTCTATGGGTCTATAGGTGTAAGCCAAAAATTGGTCTTCATATCAATCTCAACATATGCTCTCTCAAACACACCAGTGTGCACCTGCTTGTTTTTGAATTCTAACAAAATAAATCCCAGCACCTGTAATTCCAATAGTTATATGCATTTTCTAGCTACTTCTATTTACATACTAAGTACTTACAGAGCAATATTCTGAAACCACCTTGGAAATAACTGTCATTTACCTTTACAGTCAAATTCATCAGAGTTGTCACCACAGTCATTTGCACCATCACACACTTTGTTACTTGAAACACAGCGACGATTAGAACACGGCTTGAAACCCTTCCGACAGCCTCTATTTTCTGGAAAGTTAAGTACAAGCACACAATTTCATTTAGACATTTGATAGATAATTAAAATGGCCTTAAATTAAAACCAGATAAACATTCCAGAAAAATATTTCAAATGAAAATGCACTTAAATCTACAGGAAAAACTTCAGAAATTGTTCATTATCCAGCAGAAAAATTTGGACTCAAACAGATAAAGAACAATAAATGAAAGCATGATGAGAAGGAACAAAAGAATGACAAAAAATGAAAAAAGGAAAACCTAATTCCCAATTTTCATTATCTTGTGGCATAAAAAGCCATTTGTGGTTCAAATGCTCTCGTTTAGACATGCTTTTGTCAAGCATGTGACAATGTTTGCATATAGTATCAGTAATTGTATCATATAGAAAGAAACATACCAAATTTGCCTTAAACCAAATTAGGAATAAACACACAGTAACATAAAAATAAATATTAGCAGCAAAGTTTTTGGATTTCTGAATACCAATACTGCAAGTGTTTTGCTCATATAGGTCCACTATTGAAGAATGTATGGATTTTACATATGTTGATATGTTTGAAAATTCTGGAATTATTTACTAAAGCCCTAATCATTGTAGAAGTCATGCCAAAATAACCATAAATAATGTTCATTGGATTAGTAATAAGTCCAGCATCCCGTACTTTGTCAGATTCAGAAAACACCACGCTGTATATGATGTAGTGCATGACAGAACCACAGTTATTCCTGCTTTTTTCCATGTGCAGCAAAAAGTTCAGTATGGCTGATATACGCGGTCACAGTATAAATTAATATAATGTCCTTCATAAAATTACGCGGCAAATCCATGGAAAGTCAAAGTGGATCTTGCATTTATGTTTTTTCAGTATTGTAGAATAGAAGTATAAAATAGTTTTAGCAGCTCAGTAAACCTCAAACAGACTACTGACATAAGGCAATATTTCCAGAATGACAAGAAAAAGTATTCTGAGATTCCTCACCAGCTATTTTATTTATTCCCAGATGACTTTCTCTCTATTTCTTCAACTTACTCTCCTCTCCTAACAAAGTAAAAGAAACTACACAAAACCTTAATCTTTTTCACATGAACTGTGAATGAAACAAATGACTAAAATTCAGAGTAAAGCCAAAAGAGGCTTAATCCATATAAAAATATAGCTGACTTTTTTTTTTTTTTTGACAGTGGTGACTTTTTTTTAAATTACTTATGTCTAAGCAAGATGCATAGATAAATACAAATATATCAACACGTACTTAGTAGGGAAACCAAAGAAGGAATTCATAGATCGAAGTAATTTACTTTTCAGTGATTTGAAGCTGTCACTTGTAATTCAAGGGCCTTTCCCTCCTAGTACCTAGAAGTGTTTTGTATATTCTACATTCTTATTTCCTTGCCTAATGTGGTTTTTGTTTTTCAGATTTAAACAAACAAATCTCCATAAGATACCAAAAGGAGATGGTCTGATGGAATGTTACTATTAGTTTCACATGACACGATCAAAGCAATTTTTACATAGAAGTCTGAAAGCTAAAGGGGAACAAATCAAAGACGAAAGAAGAAAAAAAAAATACATAGTATCAGTTGGTATACTCAGATGGTTGGTGTTGATTTTTTTAAGGAAAAAGAAAAAAGTTATTCCATTTCTTTTTTTCGAGCATCAACCTTGGCTATTATTCCAGTATCAACCTTGGAGTTGGACTCGATGATCCTTATGGGTCCCTTCCAACTTGAGATATTCTGTCATTCTATTAAAATGGCAGAGATGAACTCCAGGAATTAAAGCATATATTTTCATAAAACTATAGAAGTGGCAGGTATAAACACAATGGGTGGGTTTGAAACAAAATAAAATCGTTCACATGGGAAACAGAAGAGATACCAAGGCTGGGATATGAATATACAGAACAAGATAAAGGTCAAGGATTACCGGCATAGAATCAAGGAATGGTTTGGGTTGGAAGGGACCTCAAAGATCATCTAGTTCCAACCCCCCTGCCATGGGCGGAGAGCATGGCACTACACCAGGTTGCTCAACACCTCATCTGACCTGGCCCTGAACACTTTCAGGGATGGGGCATCCACCACTTCTCTGGGCAACTTGTTGCCTCACCACCATACAGGTAACAAGACTTCATTTAACATGCAGGATACACGAATTACCTAAGGTGATCCAGTGATTTAGGAAAACTGAAATGTAGTGTTTTAGACATGCAGCAGGCAAACTTAGTTGGATAAAAAACCTCAAAGTGATTCAGTTAGTGATTATTAGAGGGGAAAGGAAGGATGGAATCCCTTGGGAAAATTATGAAAGAGTAGAGAGCCTGGCATCTAACTTACTGCAAGATGAAGACTGGTGTGAAGAATAATGATAACATAAACAGAAAATTGGGTGGAAAGATGTCAATTACACAGCCCTTTTTGTATTTTATAATACTATTTTACTGTTTTCTATTCACAATCAGAGAAAATCTTATTAAATACGGAAAACTAAATAAAAATTGCTTAATTAAAGCTGAAAATACTTAATTTTTCATCTTCGAAAAAGCAGATAGTTATGGTTTTCCTTATTTTTGTTTTAGAGACAAAAATATGAGAACATTTGAGATGCTTTTTTAAAACATACATCAGCTAATACACGAACTTGCAAGGAAAATATGTTCAGGTATAAATAATTCTATCCATATAATGCCAGGGCTTTTTTAATGTGCACGTTGGCATTTTCTCCTTGTGCATCTTGGCGAACAGTTGGAATGAATAAGTAGAAAAGTCACAGAGGAACCAATATAAGCATGCATAACCAAAATAAGAAGGTGAAGGTGAAAAGTCTGGAAATACTCACCACAGTAGAAAAGTTTCTCATCAGATTTATCCTTACAATGAGCGGTGCCATCACAAGTCAGTTGATAATCGATGCATTCACCGTTTCCACATTCAAACTCAGAATAAATGTTGCAAGTAGAATTTTTAGCTAAAAATAAAACACATCAACACATAATGTTTAATAACTTTTACACTTAGTGAAAATGAGAAAAATGTTGGCTGCATTTAAAATATCTGCTACATAGTTTTTGAAAACCCAAGTACAAATAAAACCCACCACGGCATCACAACTTAAAAGCTTCTACAGAGTGGTGGCCTGCAAGACTGCTATACTTCTCTGTATAATTTGCTGGTATTATGCAGGATTGAGAACAGATATCTAAATAGCAAACATTTTTCAGAAATTTTATGTTGGGTTGAATTCCAAACCAAGGTAAGAGGGAGTCTGTAAAAGAAAAATACACAGCCAAATGTCCATGAAGGAACACGTAGCAAAGCAACATAAAGGCAGTGATTCTGGTAAGACGATGACTTTGTAACTACTGTGCTCAGCTATCCTCTACCCACATATACCTCTCCACAACTCCCAGCTTGTATGCAACCATTTCTTAATGGATGTTTAAAAAAGTCTCTTCAACATAGCACATCCAAAAGCAAGAAGTGGTCACTTACCATTACCTAGCAGTTCATTTGAACTCTCAACTCTGTTTTGTGGCACTGTGCAGCTGCCCAGTGTGTACACAGATACCAGCATTAACACACTACCTCCGACGTTGAAGATACAGTCTAACATCCCACAAAGAAAACCTACTTATTTCTTTTTATACACAAAAAATTCACTGGTAGACATGTAATTTTTTTGTGTTCTTGCCTTCTAAGAGTGGATTTTTATCTATTCTTTTAGAAGAGAACAAGACGTACATTTAAAATTTTGACTTCTGCTTTGTCATGTATAAAGATTTTCTATTAGTTCAGTTAGAAACTGAAAAAACTATCACAAAATTCACACAGAACAATTTGGTCATGAAATTTGTGACAGTATATTTACTTCATGTATATGGTTCTAAACAAAACATCAAACTTGAGAGAAAGGCAAGGACAACTCAAGAGGAAGAAAAGGGAAATTATACCCGATTATTACGCTTTTTTTCTTGTTTCTCTTAATTTCAGAACAAATTCAGGAACAACCAATGTCTGCTATATGCAAAAGTCCGGGCAATGCAAATTGAAAACATTTCTTGATTTGATTCAAAAGTGAAGAAAAATATAAAAAGTGCTGAAAAGACAGATTCTGGACAAAGCGAGATCTGATCTTGAATATGATTTATACAGTTCTTTAAATGTTAATCAAATTTATCGCAACATTTGTTTTTCTTTCCCTCCCCGTTTTTGAGCATTGTAAGAACTCACATCTTCAAAAAAGTCACTCTCAATTACATTTGTAGTTCATCTAGTTCAGCATCTCAGACTGCAATCCATAGTGAAAGATGGGGAGGAAAAAAAAGGTATGTATAGTATAATCTGCCCTCGGTTACGGTCTAACTGAAAACTCTTTTTGAGATTGCTTCAAACCCCCACTTTCAGAAGCAGAACATATTTTAATGCCTTTCAAAATTGTTATTTGACTAGAAACAAGTAGTCCGGGTAGTCTTATTACCCATTTAATAATCCAATCCCTCTTCGAATTTTACTGAAGCTTTGTCTCAAGAATCTTGACTGGCAGTAAGTTATACAGCCTACACTTTGAAAGGACAGTTCATTCCTTTTCTCAGTTGGAATTGCTAACTCCTAATTTTATTGAGTATCCTTTTTAACTGTGTTACGAAGAAGGAAACTTTGGATCTCAGTTAAACTATAAAGTCTGTCTTGTTTCTGTTCTTCTTGTTCTAGTTAACCCCAACATTGGTCTAAGTATTTTTTTTTTTTTTAATTAAACTAATAACTCAGATCAACACTTCCTGAAAACATTCTGCAAAATAATTTAGAAAATGGAATCTTACATCATGGTTTAGATGATGATTTAAACACTCTTTTAAATAATAGGAATTTTAAAAGTTGTAATGCTTTTGGAAAATATAAATGCTATATAATATTACAATATAAATTATTGAACCTATGAATTTATCTGCTGAACGAAGTAAAGAAACAGGTGAGAAAAAGTGCTTAATTAAGTTTGAACTTCAGTAACTCATCTGCCTTAGACAGACCCAATGGATACATGTAGATACTTTAATCTATCTCAGTAGTAATTATGATAGATATAACTATTACTAGGAAAGTAGTATCTTACTATCACAATAGCAGTTATGTTTTCCATCTTAGTTGTGTGTTGTTTTGTTTTTTTTTTTAACCTCTTTGGGATGCCAGCAGTCACCTTTCTCTCCCACCTCCAAACAAACCAGGACTCTTATTGCATTCATGCAATGAGTTTAAACCACTACAGCAAATAAAGTTCATTACATTTAAGGAAGGTAAAATGAGGATCAGTGAAAGACCTTTCTCCTTACTTCTCCAGACATTAAGAATTCCAACTCTTCTTTGTATTTTTTCTGATTCTAATTAATCTAGGAAACTGAAATGTTTATGACAAATATCTTAACCAAGCATTGAAAAAATTTTAACCTGCTACAATTTGATACTGTCTTCTTTATCAGCCATTGAGGCTCTTTTCATCAACCCACCAGGCTCTTGCCAGCCTAGCAATGAAGGAAAAATTCCTTTACAGATTCAGAGAAGACGGCAGCAGTTAATTTGAAGTATTTAGCAATTCCTGTATTTTAGTATACTCTATTTCATGGGTAAAGGGATGGGAAAATGCTAGATGAGCTAGTGATGGACCTGACCTACAAGACCAAGTGTGGACTGGTAGGCAATGCAACTTCAGGAAATATTCCAGCTCCAAGAAGTCTCTTGAATGATCAAAGTCAATAAAACCTGACAGTGTGGGAGGGTGAAATAAGGTAATTATAAAAACCTGGTGGTAATCTTCCATCTGCAGGAAGCAGAAACATTTGTCTTTAGTGGAAAATATCTTTTTGTAAAGTAGTAAAGTCTTAATTAATATCTTTGAACTATTAACAATCAGATATCTGCCCATGCAATCTCAATTGATCACTGGATTCTGTTACTAGATTAAAAGTCTGCTTGATCTGAAACGGTGTTACTGTTTAAATTGAAATCTTTATCACTGCAAATCATCTGTAAAATTCATTGTATCTCAATTACACAGGTAGGCAAAGCAGTTTTTGAGTAAGAGCTGTAAATGTAATACAGGTTAGTTGTACACTATTCTACTGCATCTTGATTCTAGATCAGCTGTATATTCCCTCTTGTGAAGGACAAGAATTTTAACTCTCATTCCTCTCTCTATATAACGACAGAACCAGGTCTTTCCGTGAAATCTCAGTGGCCTTAGAATGCACTCTGCAAAGATTTAGTTAACAACTAACAGTAACGGGTATGTGTGAGCCAAAGGCAAAGCTGGAAGGTGAACTATGAAGGGTGTGAAAAGCAGAACAAACTGTAGCAGTTCATTATTTGTTTGGGACATGTTGGTAGCTAAGGTATCATTATATCAATTATCTGCATAATTAATGTATGTATCTGGTTTCATTTAATAGCAATATTTTAGGAAATAAAGCAAGAGGCAAAGCTGTGGATCCAAAATAAACATGGCAAAAGTAGTCTTAGGGTTAAAATCTTAGATACAATAACCAAACAATTAGCTTGGTATGGTATGAAACTAAGCTAAGCTGCCAAGCCTAAGAATCTGATTCTAAAGGACTAGGGTCCAGCCCTAAGCATGCCTTAAGCCAATTTAAAATCACACCGATACTTAAAGGTGTAGTTCTACCCTTTCCCTCGTCACAGTCTTCTGTTCTCACTAGAGCTCTTTAGCTGGCTCTAGTGATCTTGCAGTGTCAAGTTGAACGAGCTCTGCTCGCTGAGCCAACTAAAACCACAAAACTCTGATTCCCAGTCAAGCAAGCTAGTTAAGTCATCATTCAGTTACACAACTGTCATTGCTGATGAAAGGCATATAGTGGGAGGGAGTGTAAGGCAGTCTGTAGCAGAAGCACGCTTCTTGGTCTAACTGATCATTAAAAAACAGCATTCTTTCCTGATATGAAAATACTGTTGACTCAGATGTACCGGGAAAGTCTAACATTATTTTAGCATGAAAAATATATCAGTATCATGATGAAAACAAGCTCTATTAGCAAAGGAGTAGGTTTGGAAAATAACCAGTACAAGTATGTTAATGAAGGACTGCATCTCTCCCTACCCCACACCAACACCGCTCTGCACACACAGACTGGCATTTTAAAAGTGGCTCTGGATCAGTAGAGGACAAGCCATTTGTTCGGCTGTTCAGGAGCAGACTGCCACACAAGAGTCTGAAGCAGGCAAACTTCTAGCTTCCAGTAGGATGGTAACTCTTGCTAAATCAAATGCAAAACTTAAATATAAATTTTCTCGATGTCATAGTTCTCTGTTACAATCAAATAACATGATCTAGAGAAAGCAGGTGGTTCAAAGCTATGAAACTGAAGCAGCAGAACAAGCATGCTTGACGGACAGGTATGGAAGTGGAGAACTTGATCTAAGAGTGGGATTTCTGCCCCACAGAGGTAAAGTTCCAATAAACGACCAGAATTTGGAAGGAGTCTAACTGTGACAGAAGATCTGTAATACAGTGACATTAACAAAGACATAATGAACTTCACGGTGCCTCCCCGAGCCTTCCCTCCATTCCAAATCGAGCCAGCTACGCTTGTTGAGGGGAGAAGCACAAAGTCACCTTCTGTGTTATTAATGTGGGTCATACCTGGGCAAACAGCTCAAAGCTTTCCAGTTAATTCACTCCTGCTAAGGCATAGCATTAGCAAAGTGACAGAGATTTTCTCCAAATTACTAGAAAAGTCAGAAGAGTGCAGAGTGTGTATATATATATCTCAACCTTCCAAATTACCAGCACATACTTCCATGTTCATAAACATCAATTCTTCACAGGGACAATGTGATCTAAAGAAGCTGCAATAGATGACCATATATTCTGAACCACTTCTGAACTATGAAAAAATAGTTCTCTGATATTTTCTTTATCATGTGTTGAGACATGCTGGTTCAGAGGAAGCATGAGAAGATCTGAGAAAAGAACTTGTAACAGTGTAATACAGAATATTCTCCAACAAAACCAGTCTCCAAGGAGTCTGCCAACTTAGAGACACATTCTACAATTACTAAAACGTCAATTCTACATGATTAAATACAGCAGCAGGTTAATAAGTTACAATTATTTTTATATGTCTAAGGACATTAAATGAAAATATTTTTACTCAACATAAACAAATTACAAACATGAAAGAGAACACATCTACCCAAACTGGAATTTAAGGAGAATGTAAGCACTAATGTTTTTTAACCCCCTAAAAGCCTTATAAGGCACCAAACAGTTAAAAGCCTGGCATGTGCTGAATTGCCAGATCAATTTTTACAGTATATAGAAGCAATAAAACTAATGGCTTGGGCCAACTGTCTTTACTTATGATAGCCACCTGCATCACACCATAGAAAAGCATCGTGTCAGCTAGTATTACTTACTCACACATCTGTTATCATCTATCAGTATTCTATCTCCTCTACATGAGCAGTTCACTCGTCCGTCAGGAGTCAGAAGGCATAAATCATGACAACCTCCGTTCATTTGTGCACAAGGAGATAACTCACCTGAAAAACAAACGATAAAAGATGAACTCTCTTTTATTAAATTTGCTTCAATGGCCAATGTCTTTGAGAGAGTAAAGATCACCATATCTCAAATTCACAGGCAATTGATTCAGGTTTTATCAGTCAGATGAAAATGTCAGCATGCCTCAGATGCTAGCATACTAAAGATAAACAAATGGAATCACCTCCAATGTAATAATTTTAAAAAACCACAACATTCAAAACTGCTGATTTTTGACAGGAAATGATTTAACTGCTATCAAACAAGCACTATGTCCATAACAGAAAAAGGTTTTTCAATAATATTCATTTACTTGGTGAAGAGATTATATCTCATCTCTTGTTAACAGTTCTTACAACAGCAAGAATTTATGAAACACCATAAAATGTTTTGACTCTGTTAAACCTAAGGAAAGTTTTTGAAATGACTGATACTGGAATTAAGAAAATAGCATATCCTGCTTTGTAACTTACAGCTATTAGTATCATTGGCAACAGCAATGATGCCCATTGGTTGATGTGGGATATCAGAACGAAGAACTTTTGTATCTCCTCCTGTATATTTACTGGAACGCAGAATAGCTCTCCTCACTCCATCTGACCAGAAGATATAATCGTCATATACAGCCAGGCTGAGAAAGGTACCTGGTCCAGATTTGACAATTACCTAGAATACATCAGTACAGAACAAAAGCATGAGAAGGAATGTTGTCTTTGAATAAGAAGTTTTAAAAGTTCAGACTGTGACACACATCACTTTATAGTTTTAGACAAAACGCTTTATTCTCCTATTACAGTACCTGGGGAAATTAGACAACAGCACTTAAACTGTGTGAAAAGGATTCTACAAGGGTTAACTTATTATTTCTTGATATGTCCAGGCTTCAGAAATCCAGCTATCTGTTCTGTACATATAAAAATCACAGTTTATCTAAATGTGCATGTAAAAATACCTACTCAGCACACTCTAAAAATTGAGTCTCTATGAACCAAAGCCAGAAGCATGTTTCAGAACTGAACAGCATTCACCATTATCACATTAGAAACTTGAACCCAAAACAATAAATGTTTTGTGTTTTCCAATTAAAAAGAAAAAAAAAAATCTTCTCAGCCACAACACTAATTATCAGTTTAAAATCTAGAAAGAAAATATGAATTGCAGTTCACTATGTGGTGGGGTTTGAATAAAAACTGCAGAAATACAATGAATTTAATTCCAGTCTAAATCACAGCTTCTGCAAAATATTTTTGTACAGGTTCTTTCTTTGTATGTATCAGAATTAAAAATTTAACATGCACAGTTTCTGTTCCGAAGAATATAACACATTTTTAATCAGTATTCTAGTTGAAAATTAAATTTTGGCTGAATAGCAAAATTATTGGAAGGAGTCATTATTTCTCTATTAGAATTTTTAAGAGATAATGGAAATTAATATTCTGAACATATTTCTTGAATTGTATTCTGCCATGTTTCCCTGGGAAAATTAGTAACTTATGTATATGTATAAAGTGGGAAAAGTTCTTCTGATCTAGGCTTGCAAAAATCCATGTATTTATGTATCCAGCTGCTACTTATCATAGCGAAATTGGGACAAAAGCAAAAAAATAACATTTTTCTTTTAACAACCCAACAAAAGTAACTCTTCTTTGTAATCAATGCTCAACCTCTATCTCTACTTAGGTCACCACAGTTTTCCATTTGTTTTGTCCTTCGTCCTCTTTCCCAAAGGACCTTTTGATAACCATGTGAGTTTATGGAAATCAACTTGAAATAAAGAGAATAATAATCTGTATATACACAGCACATCTAAGGAATTTGAGCTATTCCTGTTGGTTGCACCATGCACGTAGGCTGCACAGTGCATGCAGAGCCAACTGGTACACCATTTAGCCTACTTGCAAGTGGATGCTACGTATCATTTTTTTAAAAAAAATGATGGAATGAGAAAGAAGTAGTAATGGTCAATCCTATATTTAATTAAAAAAAATTAAAAATAGTCTTTTGCATCACAAAGAATTCACCTAATATAGGTCATCCAAATTTAATTTTGTGGAATAAAAAGCCCCATTCTTCCCACTACAGCTATGCCTTGGAGATTAAGAAGGTGCCCTAACTCCGCAGTATTTAATACCAAGTAATGCTTCAGTGTCAGTTTGTTCACACCGCCGCCAGTTTCCTGCCCAGGGCCAGGCAGTGAACCGCCTCTGAAGTAGTGGCTTGCAAAATACCTTTGGGAATGTCCTTGGACTGATTCAGTGCCAAATTACTCCCAAGAACTGCCTGGAAAGAGCATTAGCTAGCACAGGCAAAGCTGAGACACAAGAACATTCCAACAACTTGTTAACATAAATAATTGTATTCCAGCACAGAGGAGCACTCCTGGCCACATTTAAATTCTCTTATACAGATACAGTGTCAAACTACTTATTAATCAGATAATTATAACAAATTCTGCACCACTATGCACATTATATATTTCTGCATATTTGTAAGAATGTTTGACCAACAAATCCTTTTTTCCAGCAAAGACTTTTTCCGGTAATAAATATTTCAGGAGGACGGCTTTTCTCTAACCAACCTTTTTTCAAAATTAAATGCATTAAAAGATAGATGGGAATGTATTAATGGCAAAAGGGCCTCATCTGCAATTGTGCACGCTTACTGTGAACTACTTTTCATAATGTACTCTTAAAAGCCTATGCTATTCATGTTCAGTCATTTAAAAAAAATTAATCATGTATGTTTCTGAAAGATCTGTATGAAATGTGGCCATGTGGATTTTGAAACCCCACATTTGCTCTCCATGATAACGTTGAACTGTCCCAATTTGAAGGATTTTATTATCACAACCAATGCCACGGAAGGCACTACTCTGCTCAGCGTTCTGTAGCACTGTCACAATTTTTCTCAAATTGTAACAAAGGAATGTAAATTTGTTACAGAACCAATCATCCTTGTTCAGCCTTGGGAGATTTGAGATCCAAATATCGGGACACAAAAGCTAACATCCAGGAACATTTGTTTACTAATGCTCATAGTATTTCATTCACCAGGGTCTCTATTGCATCACAGCACTATCCCAGGAGACACTGCTTTTATTTTAGCATCTTATTGAAGCATTTTATTTAGCATCATATTTTAGCATTTTATTTAACAGCACAGGGGAGAGGGACCTGGGGGTCCTGGTGGACAGCAGGATGACCATGAGCCAGCAATGTGCCCTTGTGGCCAAGAAGGCCAATGGCATCCTGGGCTGTATTAGAAGGGGTGTGGTTAGTAGATCAAGAGAGGTTCTCCTTCCCCCTCTACTCTGCTCTGGTGAGGCCACATCTGGAATATTGTGTCCAGTTCTGGGCCCCTCAGTTCAAGAAGGACAAGGAACTGCTTGAGAGGGTCCAGCGCAGGGCCACAAAGATGATTAAGGGAGTGGAGCATCTCCCTTATGAGGAAAGGCTGAAGGAGCTGGGTCTCTTTAGCTTGGAGAAGAGGAGACTGAGGGGGGACCTCATTAATGTTTATAAATATGTAAAGGGTGACTGTCATGAGGATGGAGCCAGGCTCTTCTCAGTGGCATCCAATGATAGGACAAGGGGAAATGGATATAAGCTGGAACATAGGAGGTTCCGCTTAAACATGAGGAAGAACTTCTTCCCAGTAAGGGTAACAGAACACTGGAACAGGTTGCCCCAGAGAGGTTGTGGAGTCTCCTTCTCTGGAGATGTTCCAAACCCACCTGGACGTGTTCTTGTGTGATCTGATCTAGGTGGTCCTGCTCAGGCAGGGGGATTGGACTAGATGATCCTTTGAGGTTCCTTCCAATCCCTAACATTCTGTGATTCTGTGATCCAAAAGAAAGGTTTTATTTCTGCCAGCTTTTGGCCAACTTGACAGCCCTTTTAACATTCTAGTCCATAGAATAGCATTGAAAAAGACTGACAATTTTTCTTTCTTTTTTTTTTTTAAAATCTTGATAGCACTCTTGGATGATCAGAGGTAATTGCAAATGAAAGTCTTTGAAAGTCTGTTCATCCTTTGGTTACCTGCCAAATCATGTTTAAGTCCTAAGGATTCAGTGTCAACCAAACTTGCTGTGTATCAAACCTGTTGTAAGTCATTTCCGTTTCTAAATCTCGTATTCTGTACAGCTTGCATGTTCGTTTTCCCAACAGTGTCTGCAGATACCTGCAGATTCACCAGCAGGGTCATGTTACGAAAATTCAGGTTCTTTCACTGTGACTCTATTGAAATCCTCCTTGGGTGGCCTTGTCTAGCTTGCCCAGGAGGAGTAGGAAGCACAAAAGGGTCTGCCCACTACTTTCCACTTCCCTTTTTCTTGCTGATTGCTTGTCTAAAAATTAACAATGGAAGCCAATACAAGCACTTGGCAGATTTATTCCCTTGAGTTATAGATAGTAGTCTGACAAGCTTTGGATCAAGACATAAGACAACTGCTACAGTCTTTCAGGGAATGCATGAACTCCAATATAAAACACAGAGAGGAAAGCCCATGCAGAATCAGTGATCACCATTCAACCATAAGAAAAATATTTTCAAACTGTGAAAACTCCAAGATAATCAACTTAGAGCAAGTTTTACACAAAACTGATGGCTGGGTAGCAGCAAATGACCCGAAGCAGTGCTCCCACTTATGAGAACACAGGCAAAAACCTCTTTACATATCCCATCTGGAAGCACAACATCAACACAAGCATAATGCCCAGTTGATCCACAATTGTAAGACTGCAATGTATGCTGCCTGTTGTTCAATTAAGGTTGCATAAACTGTGCTGGAATCAGAGAGCCATTGAATATGCTACGTCAGAGGAAAAAAGGACACAGTTCCATAAGAAACTGAGCATCCATGTTACACAGAGTACCATACATGGATTAACTTTTTAACATGTGCAGACAACGCGCAGATAAGGAGAACTAGAAGGTACAACCTCAACCATCAAATTTAGTCAAGCTTGATATGGATCACAACATCCCAGAAATTTAATTCACAAAGGCCACATTCATGCACTCTCACAAACTATTGGAGTACTGTATAAATTAAGACCTTTTCTGCAAAGGACAAGAACTGTGAAAAAGTACTCTGTGCCACAGAAAAAAAATGTAAAAATAATTACATTTATCAGCAATGGTTGTGGTCACAGAAGAGGGAAATATGGTACTAAATGAATATTCACCCATTGAAAAAAGGAATGCATTGCCATTCTGCATTACAAAGATCTGAACTGATTTTTTTTTAACAGTAAAAATTTAATAAATGGGTTTTAACAGCATGAAACAAAATCAGTCACATAAAGACCCTGTCTTGACATATTTTATGGGTTTTAACAGCATGAAACAAAATCAGTCTTGACCCTGTCTTGACATATTTAATCATTAGTCTAAATTAGATACTAAAAATTGCAACAATATATGTACAGTTTTATAACATTAAGGAAACCTGAACAAGACATCCCTACCATCCCTTCCACCTGAACCAGTGAAGTCAGACACATCCAACAGTACACAACGAGTTTTAACACGGAATGATACCGTCATTCAGTCACAACATGCACTTTGAGCTCTGAATAACGAATTAAAAGTTTTCTCTGCTTCCTGTAAAGCAATTAGAAGACTAAGGGCTGGGGAAGAATATCAGAAGTAGCATGGCAATT